AGGTTTGTCACCTATCAATACGCATCAATTCCTATGACAGAAATCTGGTTAGAAAACTCAATTTCATAACCACCTTACATGAAAAATCATTATTTTATAAATAAAATGTATTTTAGGCAATTATGTTTATTACAATATAACTGTATAAAGAAATAAAAGCTTTGCAATAATTAATTGTAGTTATTTTTGGAGAAAACATGAGTACTTTTAGGTGACTGGATGGGAAATCACATCATTTCTTAACACAACTTGAGGTAAATCCCAAAATTTTTCCTGATGAACCTTAATTTAATTAATATGAACTTAGAGCTTATTAAGCAAAGAAGTTTTTATAAAAGTGGAGTAAATATAGTACAGTTGAAGGGTGATGAAAAAAAATCACAAATAATTGGTGACATTTTTAATTAACGAAACTTAGCTGTGTTTGTCGGCCCAATAGTCGTGGAGCAATGTTTAGTTACTTAAATCAAATATTTTTTTATGATATCGGTTCCTATTCAACAAAAAACGTGACTCGCATAAAAATACACAAATCTTAAATTTCCTATTTTTCTGCTGGTAAATGGACAATTATTTATATGAACTTTTATGTAGATTTTGATGTCAAACTATCTAATTTTTATTTGTTTCCCTCTACTTACGGGACACCCTGTATATTCCTTCCCTTCCTTCCGAAGACAATATTTCCTAGGCACATTCCTTTACCAAATAATCAATAGTCATCGTCCGTCCTACGCATACAATCTCCTACAATTCAAATCATCTATCCACACCCTCTCCACAAGATCTCGTCCTTCTGACCTTTACACTCCTTTCCACAGATCTGCATCATTTAAACATTCCTTCGTTGTCCGTTTCACTGCATTCTGGAATTCCATCCCACTAAAAATCCGCTATGCATCATCCTTATCCACCAAAAAAACCCTCTTATTCCAATTCCTCTTCACAATCCAATCAGACGCTGGTTAAATCCATACTATGTTATAAGGCTTTAATTTTCTTTAGACATTTTTTTTTCTCTTATTTTTTATTGTTTTATTCTGTGTGAACGTGAATTTTCATCACCACTCACGAAGCATTGTGAGTAGATAAAATTTGTTTTTCTTCATTTCTAATTTTTTAATTCATGAAATTGTATTTCGGTGAAATGTATTTTATTTTCCAATTATCTTCAATACACTTCTCGCTATGTGTATATATATGTATACTTTATTTTATTTTTTCTTCTCCTAATCTTTATTCATAATCACTTAAATATCTTAGGGAACATATGTATATCATTTTTTTTGTTTTTACAATATCTTTCCTTACATATTAACAGTTATTATTATTTTTTTAATTTTTATATTCCATCACTACGGTGGTCTTTATCGGTTTCGTTATGATAAATTGATATACCTTACTTGAAAGTTGTTTTTACCTTTATCTTTAAATTATTTTTTTATACATTTAGGTTTATTATTATTTGTTTTATATATTTAAAGATTTATTCATTAATTTAAGTACAAATAAAAGCCAATGAAAGAATTTAACTTTCATAATATACTTTCAAAGTATAAGTTTATCTAAAACTTATTGACTAAAAATTTATTCTAAAAGTCTATCTCAGATTTTTATATACAATGCTTTGCCTATAAAATTGATTTTGCGTTCCTTTCTAATTTCATTTAGTGATTATTATGCCATTGTTTTAGCTCCAATATTGTAGTACTGAACCCCTATTAGCCAACTGTTCTCTTTAATTTATCCTAAGAGCTTAATTAATACTTAATTTTTTACTAGTATTTTGTTATTATTCATTGTAATAAGTCTTTTGGCCAGATTTGTGGTTAATTTATATGAACAATACTGTTATTCTAAAGGGACCTAGTCCCAGAATAAAGATGATTTTTCTATTTCTATTTATATTTATATATTAGGAAATAAGCCATTATCGATAAATTATTAATTTAGTTTATACTTGTTGCTTTCTTTAAAAATTCTAAACTCTGTTCAGAGAGGAATATTGCATCAGGAAATGCCATTTAAAGCCACATGAACATTCTCGGATCACATTGGACACAAAGCACGTCAAACCACATGTCATTTCCATGGTCAGTCAGGATGTAGTCATTCACAATGATTGTATTTTTTATTTTAGTTTAGCTATTATTCAGCAACGAAGGTCCTACCAACATTAACAGGACCTGGGTCCATTCATTTCTATGTATTTTTTTGATTTTTTAGATCGACGTGCACTACTTTTTGTTGTGCATTGTACTGTCATTATCAGTAACTATTGGAGTAGATGTACCGTATCTATCCGCATAGTCTTTTTACTTTCGCTTAAAAATGTATTCCTCCACTTGATAACAGATTTTATTGACATATTTCCATGCTATTTAGTCAGTTGTTCTCTGACCAATATTTTATGCGAATTATTCGCACGGGCGAGCTAGTTAAATTAAATACAAAGCTTATTGTCTATAGTTAGGGTATTAAAGATCCAACTGTCAAAAGAAGTGACTGAAGTCGAGTCACGTAGTGTGTATCAAAGGTCGAGATATTATGGCTGTTCATGAACGAGCATTAACATTCTTGACCTCTGTACTAGTTACTGGACACTGTGTAGTAGTACCTACATTGAAAAAAATGTTTTTTAATCCTCTTTACACATGTTATTTTTTTTCCTTAGTTTTAATTTTCTTATTTTTTAGGTTATTTTATTTTATTGTCTATTGTATATACTTTTGATTATTATTTTGTTCTATTTATTTTATTTTTTTGTACATATGGTATGAATGTCATCCTACCTCACTATAACCAATGTCCAACAGACAGATTGTTATAATACTCAATAAAGAAATTTAAAAAAAAAAAAAATCCTCTTTACTTATCAGCGCTGGTTAAACTTCAGTGATATATACATTATTTTTAAATGGTTGCGAAATTAGTTTGTGTTGAAATCACAATGAGAAACAAATAAAAATATTTTATGTTTTGTCGATTTTTTTGGCCTAAGTTCTAATTTTCAGCCCTTTATCAGGGCTGAGGAAAGACAAGATAACAAAACAAAAATTATTACAAACCTATTGTACAATAATATAAAAACAAAATATATGTTATCCGTTCATAAATTAATTCTATGAAGTGAATAAAAATTACTTTGTATAGGATAAATTGAAATATATTACTACTGTTTTTGTAATGTTAAGGCATAAAAATATTTTCATCATAAAAAATAACATCATAGTACATTTTTTTTTAATTTTACCATAAGAAGATAATGGACAGTGTGATACAATATGCGACAAAAAAAAAATCAATAAATTAGACTTGTATATATCAGTAGTGAAATATAAAACTAATTATTAATGAATGGAAAATATGTGATGTGTAAGGTATACAATATTATAATATAATTATAAGGTATATAAGTCTACTCCCTCTCCACAAGATCTTGGCCTTCTAACTTTTACACTCCTTTCCATAGGTCTGCTTCATTTCAACATTCCTTTATTGTCCACTCCTCCACCTTTTAGAATCCCATTCCACTTTAAATCCGCCGTGCAACATCCTTATCCACATTCAAAACCCTCTTATTCCAATTCCTCTTAAAAATCCAATCAGACGCTAATTAATTATTTATCATGTAACAAGGATAATTTTTTTTCTTTTCATACACAATTATTTTATTTTAGTTTTTGTTTATTATTTACGATTGGAAAGAGTCAGTAAGCACTGTGAGGTGATGCATAAAAAATAAGAGATTGTTTGTTGTTTTTATCCATATTTCTTTTTCCCATCTACAAGATAGTGTATATTTTACACTCATATTATTAATCCCACCTCATTGATGTTTTCATTTCTATTGTGGGACCTTAATCACGCACCGTAGGTTTTTTTTATATTAAAAATATTTCTAAAACCACGTTAATGATTTTTTTAAAATCAACGTTCTGTAAAAATGACGAATTCAACCGATAGAGCCCTTCAGGATATTCTAAAATAAAATATGCTGTCCTGAAAAATACTGAATTGTTGGATTTGCTCTTTGTAAAACACACAGACGATGTAGTTTATTTATTTCTTACATAAAAGAGATTAGCATACTTGATTTCTCAATCGTCAGGACAAATCGATTCTTGAATAAGTTATTAACCATCATTATCGGATTTCTAATGAAGTCTATCGCGGAAATTTACGATATAGTAGAGGTGTTTTTATGTTTGATAAAAGTTGTATGCAAATAAGATTGCATAGTTGCACAAATAACATTTTACCAACCGGATGACTTAGCATGTTATTTCCATTTTTTCCTTTTATAATATTGTTGGTAAATATCGCGATTCGATGAAGTTAAGTATGAAGTAATGGATTGAAATTAAAAAAAAAAAAACATACTTCTTAAATAGAAGGAATCTTGGATTATTATTAACATTAAATCATACTATATCCTTTAATAATACCCCACTTATTCCTCTAGAACCAATCCGATACCTAGGACTAGAATCCTCATACAAGGCTAAAACGAAAAGAAACCGCTCGACGTTTGCGACTACTTCAACACTTATTTGACAAACGCTCTAAATTTTCACTTAATTACAAAAGAAATAATATGACTATAGTAAGACCTATTTGGACTTACGGAATTCGGGGAGAGCTTTGGGGATGCACTAAACCATCGAATTCCTCTCGTATCCAATCCTTACAATCCAAAATCATTCGTAAAATCCTCAATGCTCCTTGCTTTTTCACAAATAAAACTATCTATAACAACCTTAAGATACCACATGTTTCCGATTTGGCCATATCGATCCCTTATAGATGGTCTCTCGATCTCTTTATATAGACATATTATTAGAGTGATACCAGTGGGTAGTTTCTCAGCAAGTGTTTTCATATCATTATATTCCTGAGTAAAAATTTACTAGATGTATTTGTTTTAGTTATTTGTTTTATTTGTTACAGTTTTATATATCATGAATAAATAGTTTTTAAAAAACTTGTATTTGTCCAGATGTCATGTTGCTACCAGCGGTCTCCGAATCAGACCTGGACAGATTTACAAAGTCCCCATTCTCCTCTGTGGCGAAGACAGGGTATCGTTGAGGGTCACGTTGGTGTCTTCTGACAGCGTAGTTACGGAAATAAAAACAACTCTGCCACCTGGATTCCACATCCTTATACTTCAGGTAAGTTGTACCAAAATAAGTTATACCAAAATAAAAGAAAAACAAAATTATAACAAAATAAAACTTTGAATAACCGAATAAATCGATCATGATACAATATTAAATAAAAAAAATAAATAAATAAAAACACATTCGATATTTAAAGTATTTACTTCCTTTATATATTTATTTACATTCTATGCAATGCGCACTTGCGCATCTAGCAAATTTGTTGTATTTATACTGTTTTAGTGTATTTGCTTGATTTTGTTTTTATCGATATAGGAAGTCTCTTGGCCATTTTCTGCTTAATCTGCGTCGTTCAGGTAACAGGAATCAGGAGATAGAAAGAACCAGATGATTGAAGTGATTTTGGGTTGAAGAATGAAATGTAGTGTATTTGTCGTGGATGTAGGATTTTACTGTTGGGGTGTTTAAGTCGTTATGTATAGTAGTGTTTGTAATGTACCAAGGTGCGTTAACAATTTTTCGTAAAATTTTCGGTTGTGCTTTTTGTATTTTGTTTATGTGTGTTTGTTTTGCCGAATCCCTAAGTTCTGCTGCATATGTCCATATTGGTCTCAGTAAGGTGTTGTAGATCAGTCACTTGTTTCGTTTCACTTGTTTCGTTCGTATCACTTTAGCCACATACACTCATGTCTAGAGTGAAGAATCTGGCCATTGCCAGAACTCCAATTTATACAATCTACAAAAGATCGCGAGGCCACTGCCGTTTCAACCTTCTTGGAGGATTATAGGGATGGGAGGTGCTTGATAGGGATTGTGCAAGAGGATTTGGGTGGTACGTAAGGTTCTGGTGAAATTTGGAGAATTTTTCTGGGATAAGGTCTAGGACAAATGGGATGTTGAGGTCATGATGTAGGGTTTTGTTGGTTACATAGAAAGGAGCATCGACTATTGTTCGAAGGACTTTTGACTGGAAGGATTGGATGCGCTTGATGTTAGAAGTCCAAATAGGTTTCATTATTGTCTTGTAGATCAGTAGCTTGTTTTCAATGGAAAGTTTAGATTTTCTGCTTAGTAGTCGGTATAGTTGGCCGTATCGTCGGTTGAGTTCTTGTCTTTTGAGTCTAGTATGCGGGTTCCATGTTAGTCTTCGGTCTAAATGAAAGCCAAGATACCGGACTGTGTCTGAGTAAGGAAGCTGGATGAAATTAAAGAGTACTGGTGGACAAGAATTGCGTCGGAGTGTAAAGATAATATGTTGGCATTTAGATTCATTAACTTTAATGCGCCAGTTATTACACCAGTGCTCAATCAAAGTGAGGTGGCTTTGGAGATTTAAGGATGCTATTTCGGGATCAGAGTTGGATGATAAGATTGCGGTGTCGTCAGCGAATGTTGCAAGGAAGTATTGGGATGAACAGGGATGTCAGCAGTAAAGAGGGTGTAAAGCACGTAACCCAAGATCTTGTCTTTTTAATTTCATATTTATGTTCCAAGTAAGTCTTTTGTCTAAGTAGAGTCCAAGGTACCGTACATAGTTCTTTGAAGGCACTGGGTTATTGGCAATCGTTACAGGTGGACATGAGGCTTTCCTAAAAAAGAAACTAACGTGGGTGGGTTTATTACTATTTATTTTGATTTTCCATTTTTCAAACCACTTTTCAAGATAATGGAAGTGGTTTTAAAATGTTTTAAATGTGGTTTAAAAAATAAGTAGAAGGTAAGTGCGATTTTAGTTTCCATAATAGGCCCTTGTGCCAGACACTATCAAATGCTTTTTCTATGTCGAGAAAGACCGCAGAGTAATATTCCTTTTTCTCAAAAGTAACTGAGATGGCGTCTGCTATCCAATGGCACTGTTGCACAGTAGAGTGATAACAACGTAAGCCAAACTGGTGATTTTGTATCACTTCACTACTTTCTAGAATAGGCTTTATACGGTTCAGGAGTAGTTTTTCAAATATTTTTCCCATTATTGGGAGAAATGCTATAGGGCGATAGAATGAAGGAGTAGTGGTAGGTTTCGAAGGTTTAAGAATCATTTTAATTGTGGAGAGTTTCCAAAGCAGAGGAAAATAGGTAGTCCTTAGTTGTTAAATTTTGCTTTACTTCAAGAACAGTGAAACCTGTCGACGCAAAAAACGATTTGCATTAAATATAAAGTACCAATGTTCATTGGACACAATATTAATATATAAAAACAGAGAGGGAGGAGGTGGTTACATATCAAATTAAATATACCAGGACGTAATCCAAACGTCAAAGAATGACCATAAGATCCCACTTGATAAAACAAAAAATTCTGAGCAGATTACATGAAGACAGTCAATGCAATAATGTTGGTCATCAATAAATAGAATTCTCATATAATTAAAGAGAAAATGTTAGAAAGAAAAATTTGGTGCCCTACAATAGAGAAAATACACCAATTATGATTTCAAAATGAATTTGTGGATTTGGGTCTATGATGGAAGGACAGCTATCTAGTAAGTTCAAACATTTTTTAGTGTGAGTTGCAAACAATTAACTGTTACAAATAATAGTTTATTTTGGGGGGATTTTTTCATGTCTATGACCATTAATAGCGAAATTCTTTGTCAAGTAAATATAATTTTTTTTGGCTGAAAATATGATTAACCTATCTGGGAGCAGGGTAGCTCATTAGTAGGACCCTAAGTTTCTAATGCTCGAGGTCGCAAGTTCGATCCCGGCTCATGGCAGAAAAATTATTTATTCTGTTTCCTTGGCCGTTATAATGATTCCTCTTATCGTTACTCGGAGTGCTGAGTGGTAACGCCTTCTAATCACACTCAAAGTTGACCGAACTTACAAGATAATTGTCTTTCCACCACAGGCTCAAATCCGCAAATTCTGTTTCCAATCATTAATGGTACATTTTCTCTATTACATTGCACCAAATATTCCTCTCTAGCATTTATGGAAGTGGAGCTACAAAAGTTTATAAACGACACTAAAAGCCTTTGAATATATATTTTTTTTTTTGCAACGTTCTAAATGGAGGAACATTATTAAAATAACGATTATTAGTTAATACCTGTATAACCCTGTAATTTTCGCTGCATTACAAGTTGAAGAATATGCCAAAGCTGATGGTAAATTGGAGTTAAGTCTGAGACAAACACTAATAGATTAGAATTTTATGGTGGATTTCAAACATTAATATTAATTTGAGTCTATTTAAAATGCAAATATAATCAAATTTAAAATTTCCACTATAATTTTATTACTTCACTCAGTCTAATTTTTGTTTCCCAAACTAGATTTCTAAACCGGCGGGTTTTATTCTATCTTACAGGGAAAAAAATGAAACGATTAATACAAAAATGAATCAATGGCGATAAATGAAATCACTAAATTTTTAGTAACAATTAAAGTTCAAAACAATTAACTGTATACACGGATGTCCATGTTTCAGGTTTGAGGGAATATTATTCTCAAACAATATATTTGTATAATAATATTTTATATAATGAATAAAAGATGAAAAAGGATTTCATTGTTATTGTATTTTAATTTTTTTTTTGTTGTTTGGTATTTTATTGTAATTTTATTTCATTCATTATCCGCAGGAAAAGCCAAAAGAATGTGTTAATAAGATATGTAGTAAATATAAAATTTTAAACCATCACAGAATAGAATTAATTTTCAAAATCACATAAATTAACTGCTATTATTTTCATGAGGGGTTTATATATATATATATATATATATATATATATATATATATATATAAGATTATTATATTATATATTTATTATATATAAATATAATTATTATTATTTATTTATTTATTGATGGATACTTTTTAGATACCTGATTCTATAATGCACAGCCAGTATGGAATCGTTATGGAAGGAAAAGAACTCCATTCTAACTTGAGATTTAAAAATTACGCACCCTTGGAATTTTCTCCAAACTTCCTCTCGATTGTTATCCAATCAAGCAGGCCTATTTACAGGTCTTCACAGACAAGTAAGTACATTTATGATTGATTTTAAATCTTCACCATAAAAACCAACTTCCAAAGTGTTCCTTTGATTTCCAATTTTACTCCACCACAATCTATTTGAAATAATAGTTTTCCAATCTTCCAAACACACCTCGAACGTCCCGTCAGTGTTGCCACACAAACGCTAGTGTTGCTGAAGAACACAACAGATATTTATGTTTCAACTATTTTTCTCTGGTTTTCTTTTTAAAATGATGTTCAGGGATCGACCACTGAAACACCAAAAAAAAACAACTGAAGAAAACAATTTTATAATTCTGGACCATTTTTGATCCAATGTTTTCCTGTACAGTTAATCCAAGTCATTGGTGATGTGTGCACACTATGATATTATTTTCATCAGAAATTATAAAAGATAGAAAATGAGTTGCTAAACCTCAAGAAAATAGCCTCGTGAAGGAAGTATGGGAAGAAAGAAGAGGAGGCCAAGAAAAGAAGCTATAAAAGATCGAATATATTACCAGAATATTGAAAGATATCGATTGTAACCTGATTCGATTTCTAAATAAGTTTTTTTTTTTCATTTATCAAATCGCTGCAAATTATTTCACAATGGTTTATTATTTTCAAACAATTATACATCTAAAGTAGCATTATCTTCCTAGTTACAAAAAAAAATAAATAAAATGTGATTCCAATGATTGGACTAAACTTTTTTTTTAATCATTAGCAATACGCTTAAAAAATTAGCATTACTTCAGTAACACATTCAAAATTCAAAAAACAAAACAAAGGATATAACGTTTGCTGTAGAATATATAATAAAAAATGCGCGGACGGCGGACGGACAACAAAATTTTTAATTCTACGTATCCTGAAACGTAAAACCTCAAATTTTGATAGGATTTAAGTTTTTGAATTTTTTGGTCGATCACAATGGTTCATTATTAAAAATAATAAACCAAAATTGGTATTTTAACCGATTGCTTATTAAATATTTCGTAAACCGGGACTTATTATACTTCTACCAACCATATGTATTTTACGTATAACCACTTTTTTTCTTTTTTTTTCAGTAAGGTTCAGAATATTGGTATTGAATACAGAATTACGAGCCTTCGACAATGCTGTAGAAGCGCATATAGTTGTAAGTTGATCGAACTACTATAGCCAATGAAATTTTATATTTCATAATTTTTAAAATAATTTTGTTTTTAGGATCCGGATGATTTTATAATGCGCAGATGGCTTTCGGTTTATACTAACAATGGTATTATTAATCTCATTACCATTTCCTTATAGTTATATATTCATTAATGTCAATCATCTATTTAAATTTGATTTCAGGCATCGCAAGTCTCAAGTTTAAGCTTCCAAGCCTGGCGAAGGAGGGATATTGGAAGATTAGGATTAAAGCAGGAGAACAAACAGAGGAGCTAAAAATCAAAGTGGAGAATTACTTCGAACCGTTATACGAGGTATAAAGTAATATAACTACGTTCATTAAAAATGTTACTTTAAAAATTTGAAATAAATCAAACATTAAAATATATCTTGAAAATAGAACCATACTCTGTCATATACAGATTAATTACATACTGATTTACATAGTATAAAAAGAAAAAATAATTAAAGAAATCTTTCATATCGAGCTTTAAGTATAACACGAATCCATTATGTAAACGAATCATTGCAATATTAACAATAACAAATGTCAACAAAATCATGAGGTACCCGCTCATATAATTCTACCCTAAATCGAACCGATTATTGTTTACAGCGTTTCCAACAGCCATACCAAAATAAAGTAGAAATTTCCAAGAGCTTGAATTATTCCTACATGACCAAGTAGTAGCAAATAGTTGTAGTATTAATAAATAATCTCCGCGAAAATGGTCAATGCGAGCCACAGGCGGATATATCGGGCAGGGAGGAGCTTCCGGGCTGAAGCCTCCCTCCCTCCCAAATGTTAAAATATAACCATATCTTATATTGTTTATTATACTAAAACAATTGTTACCATTTATTTACTTCAGTTTAGGATATTGTTACTTAGTTTACTATATTTATTGTTCTTATTATTTCAATGTACTTACTGTTCATAATTTCAATAAGTTTATTCACCTTGTTTATAATTTTTATCTAAATATTATGTAACTTCTACAATTGTCTATATCCTTCCGTATCTTGTACATTCTAGCCCTGAAGAAGGCCTGCAAAGTCGGGTTGAAACATTAGCTTGAAATAAAATAGTTTTGCCACTATTTTAGTCTATTTATGACCGCCATCCCGGACCACTCCTTCCTCTATTAATGTTATAAAATCAAATTAAACATTATAAAATCAACAAAAATAATATAAAATTCAAATACCTACAAAAATTTTATCCCCTGCCCTAGCTTGTGGTGCATTTTTTCTGAAAATCAGGACTTCTGGAAAACTCCATGGGACAAATTGTTAAAAAGCGTCTGCATCACCTTATCCTAAAATTAAATCCTGCATTGACAACCGAATTCTGAGTCTCGTGTGCATTGTTTCCATTATGATGAGAAAGTTTCCTTTTTAGGGAAATTCCAAGATTGAGAGGGGAGAAAAGGAAACTGTTTTCAAGAACCAAAGCCAAATCTGAGCCCAGTTTAACTAAAACAGATATAAAACTTGTAGTTACATATAATATTACATATTGTTTTGTATACATTTGAGCGGAATGGATTTTAAGTTCCTTCTGACAGAAAATCTGACTGATCGTAAAAGAAATTTAAAAAAATAATATGATGGAAACGCTGGTCCTCATTAATTTTTTATTTGATAGATAACTATTAATGGTCAGCAAAATTACTTTGGAACACAATTTTTCAGCTTAATCTTAACTCGAAAAAAAAAGTCAACTGCTAATTACTCCAACTTAGATGTTCACACTATTAATTCTTCTCAAATAAATATACTTAAACTGCCTTCATTAGTTCACAGCCTTTTAAAGTGTGATTAAATAATTCTATTTACTTGTCTTTATTATAACTACAACAGTTTGCTATAATAATATAGATGGTTTAAATAAACCAGACATCAATTATATTTTTTAAAATAACAGGTTAATTGCTCTCAGGAGCAAACAAATTTTCATCTTCATCTTTCAAAAATGAGAAACAATATTATCAAAAGTTTTTATTGCAGGTTTTTGTTGAAATGCCTCCTTATATTGTGGATACTGATGAAAACCTAGAAGCTGGTATCTTTGGAATGTTTATTTCTGAAGAGATTGCTAAAGGCAATACAACAATAAGGGCATACAGCTCATCTATAAATGAATCTTCACAGCTAATTTTAGAAAAGAACATTTTTTTAGTGAGTACAATTCTTCTAAAAGTCATTTAACCGAGCTCAACAACATTAGAATCTGTAAATTATTCATTATTAATCTTTATTTTTAAATTCACTTGGTTTCAAATTGTATGATAACATTACTACTGTTTTGATATATAGAAAACTAAAAATTTTCTGTTTTATATAATATGAAATAGTAACATCAAAATTGATGGATTGAAGTAATTTTGATTTGATATGATGTAATTTGTATTTTTTTTCAGAAAAATAAAGATTTCAAATTAGTTATACCGATGGAACAAATTAAAGGTTTTTCTGGAAATGAAATTAAAGTAGAGGCAACAATGACTGAGTTTATGTCAGGGGAGATTGTCCAAGGTTTCGCAAAAACTAAAGTTATAAGCAGTTCTGTAAAAATTCGATTTCTCACTGACCAGCCAATGTTTTTCAAGCCCTCTTTGCCAATTCATCTTTATGTTAGTATGATTTGTAACCTATATATAATGTATATTCTTATAAATTTATTTTATATTTTACAAAAAAAAAAAAAGTTAATTTTGCTTTTTTCTTAGATATCAGTGCAGTATGATGATAATGTTCCAATTGCTCCAGAAGTTCTTGAATCTTCTGAAGTATCTTTTGAGATTTCATTTCATACAAGCAGTGGTGACATAAGTTTCTCGTTCACATTTTCACCTGTCAAACAAAAGGTTGAGCTAAATACAATTGATATCGGTTTTGAGTCTGTACTTATAGATCCAAGCTCGGAGTCCGAATATGTAGACACTGGCATCATAGGTTTCACACTTATATCACCCCCTACAACAGAATCTGTTTCGATCACTGCCCACTACAAAGATGAAAGTGGCAATGATGCCTCAACCAGTCTGAAGGTTTTTAAGCATGGGGTTGGATCTGAAAAATATTTGAGTCTCTGGACATCCACACTGGAAGCAGTAGCTGGAGAATATGCCATTTTCCATGTGAAAATGAATTTTTGGATATCGAGTTTCCAGTACTTAGTGAGTGAGTTATTCAATCTCATTACTGGTCTTCAATTACAACAAATGAGCTTTTAAATTTTTAAGAGAATTAATCTACTCATCAATAATATTTTATAAGATTATATTATGTTCACGATTACTAAAAAAAAATTAATTAAAAATACTTCCATTCGTGATGTTTTTCCAGATAGTATCTAAAGGAGCAATCGTCAATGGTGGTGAGGTGACTGTGAAAGGAGACACTACCAGTTTCCCTGTTGCTCTTTCTCCAGACATGGCACCTGGGTTTAAAATAATAGTGTTTGCTGTCAGCAACTTCACCATCCTAGCTGACAGTGTTTACCTGCCATTATCTGCATTCAACAGGTATGAGGTTAGTTACTGTACATCAGAATCAGCAGTCACAATATTTTTTACCTTATTTGCTAACTAATAAACATTATTATTCCTAGATGGAGATCTTTCTGAATACTGGAAAGGATTTTAGAGGTAATATGGTTGAACTAATAGTAAGCGGAGATGAAGGTGCATATATTTGTGCTCATTCCGTCCGATCCAGTATTTATTTTATGCAAGCTGGAAATGAAATAACAGAGAGTAGAGTAATCAATAGTCTATCGGCTCTTGAAAACTTTAAAAAGTGAGACTTGTTCACTTATATATTAATACATTAATAAATTGATTAAGTTTTTTTTAATCTGAGATTCTTTTCTAACTTATTTAGAATGTTCAGGGCTGTGGAGAGATACCAAGCGCCACAGAAAGAATTTTTTCGGGTTTCCTTAAAATATTAAATGCATCACTAATTCTTATTTTGTTTAATTAACCATTCTCGCCACTGTTTTATTTTTTTTTAACTAAAATAATTATCTTTAATAATTATTTGTGGGAATTTGAAGAAAATCGAACATACAGTTCCGGATATGATGTGATTGCTATGGTGATGAAGAGGGGAAGTGGAGCTTGAGAGGAGTTTTGGGGAGATGGAACTTCAGAGGAGGAAGACTGCATAAGCTCCCTTCTCCTTCAGGCAAACTCATCTTGGATGCACTATAGCTTGTCACCGTTGTGAAACTTAGTTTTTAAAAAAGTTATTTAAACTCTAAATCGTTATTTACAACATGAAGTTAAATACCTAATTCTCTCAACTCTATTTTCCCTACCAATTGTTTTAGAAATAAAAACTCTGTTTTGTGGAGAACAATCTTTACTGTAATTAATTTTTGTACTATGAAAAGCTATTGGTCCCTTATTTGACTTGGATCAGATAAGTCAAGATGGATAATATTGCATTTAATAAATAAGTAAATTATAAAACAGTTTATATATCTTTTTCTTATTTCTTTTCAGGCCCATTAACAAAGTTACCACACGATCTAGAGATGGCAGCACTGCTGAGAAAACAGTTTATTATCAGACGCCTGATTATGGAAAGGATTCTAATCAAACATTTGCATTTTCTGGCCTACTCCTTTTTTCTCAGTTGAACTCATCGTTTACTAATGCAGGTATTATATATTTTGGTTTAGCTGCACTAATTAGTAATTAGTCTTGATACATATTCTTCTTAGTTGTTAGAGTTTACTGAAGCAAATGCTATACCACTACCGATTAGTTTTAACTAATTCATTATACTTCATTTGAGCAAATTAGTGCCAATTTCGGATATATGAACCAAATTTTCACAGCTGACAAATAAATTTATCCATGTTTAAATATTATAGAAACCAAAGTTGGAATTTTACTTTATATTCCTTGATATGGTTGAAGAATACTTGAAGATTTTGAAACGTCGATACACCTTTAGGGATTAGTAGTAGAAATGAAAATAAATTGCGAAAGTATGTTAGTTTTTATTATTAACACATATTTGTCCAGTATATTTTGCACTGCCATTCATAAAATGTCGGTCTCTTTTTCTCTGTTTGGTAAAAAATAGAATTTAATTTATTTAGAATTAAAAGATTAGAATTAAATTTAGGTCAGAGATAAACAAAAGTAATTTACAGGCATTGATGACCTTGAAGTTTTATGGCTTAAAGGCTCAACAAACAAAATAAGAATCAATTATTTTCTGTGCTATACAAATGACCAATTTTCCTCATTCAGCTTTTCATTATTGTTTACAAAATATGAATTTTCTTCATGCCGACGAATATGTGTTAAGTTATTCAGAATTAAAACAAATCAGTAAAAAAATATTTTTTGAAAAAATTATCTCAATTGTACCAAAAGAAACTTTTAATCATAGATGGCTATAATCATAATCAAGGATTACAATTACATTAATTTTGATCACATCATTACGATTACAGTGATTGTGATTACATGATTACAATCATAATCAGGTAATCGTCACACATTTTTGATATATTTACAGTGTTATTGTATAAAATATAAAATTATCGTGGTATTTAATTTTATTTTTAGTAGTAATCATGTAATAATTGATTCCAATGTTTTTCATTACTGCTTTTAATCAATTTTACAGTAACATAAATTATTTTCATACTGAAGCTTTCAATTTTATTTTTGAAGGATCGTGTTAAAAAACTAAGTCACTTTTTTTTTGTTAATTGAGTAATAGGTTCCAATGGTTTCAAAATGAAAAGGTCCATTCTTCCATGGAGTTGGGATGAGAAATAATAAATTCACTAAATATAATGTTTGTTTTTTTCACATATTAATTTCCTGAAAGAATCCATTGATACCAACAACTGAATTTAAAATTATTAAATGGACACCTTAATAATAATTATTATTTTCCCTGAACATATTTATATTTTAAAATACCAAAATTGTAACAGGTGGTATAATTTGTTACCTTTCGTTGCTGGAACTTAGACCACTAGTATCTGTTTTGAACAATTGATTGTGATACTTTTTCTTCATGACTTCTTTCACTTATAGGTTAATACATAATTTTTTCATACTGATTTTGATATCTAAATTTGATGTTTTTTTTAATCTAGTTATGAAAAAATGAAAGTATTAGTTCTTTTCATTACTTTTGACCAGCATATGTTTTTGCTTATAAATATTTTTTGTTGAATATGTCTGAAACAAGAGATGTTTCTTTTCTGATGAAAATTAATTAATAATCCCTTCAAAATTACTTCTAGCTCATTTCTGAATATTTTGTGGATTGGTCCTCTTATGCTAAGTGCTGTCCAAATGTGAATCAAGTTTCATAAAAAAAGCCATTAAAATTGTTTTTAGCACATCCCCTCTTCTCATTAATCAGCTATTAATTTTAATATTTCTAGTTGGTTGGTTTGAAACACGGATATCAAATTTCATCTAAATTAAACGTATTTATGCATGTGGATCATACATGTTACTCTTTTTATTCTTTGAGTTTTTTTTTTCAATTTAATTCCTAACAAACATTCTTTAATATATGTATCAAAATGATAAACCATTTATTTAATTTTTTTTTTTTTAAATACTCTTGATATTTAATAATATGAATAGTTGTTGTTTTGTTCTATTTTATATGTCTCCTAGCATATGTTATATGGTTATGAGGTATCTGCAATGAGCAGGAGGGAGACTTACTTCCTTGTTTCGGAGGAGGCTGCTATTCGCTGGAGCAGAGATGTGATGGCGTTCCAGATTGTAGAGATTCTACTGATGAGTTCAATTGTATGTATACTGTTTAATTTTTCATAATATAATATTACTGCATCATTAAAAAAATATGTTGAATATGTATGAAATAAAATGTATATGAGTTGATCGGTTTATCCAATTTCGTTTGCTTTGACTAATCAAAAACATTCATAAACCTTGGCTCTAGCAGAGTCCAGCCAGTTTGAAATTTACTATTTTCATACCTTTGAAAGTGGAGTAATTCATTGTTCAATATCTATCTTATCACATCCTAATCTCTGTTGACTCCAAGCAGAACTTGGACTCTTCGAGATGCAATCCTTCTGGCTTCTTACCGTGTTTTAATATTCGGTCCAGGACATTTTCTGCTGATCTGCACCACATCTCTACAATGAGTTATGTTGAGTTTATAAAATTTTGTAGTTTACCATATTCATTTTACTCTTAAAAATGATCTCAGCTATACGAAAATATGGCAAAAGTTAGCTATCATATAATAATTTTAAATACAAAAAAATAATACCATAAATCTCCTATTTCTAGATTCAATTTTAAATTTACCAATTAGGGTGATCCACATAGTTAAGGATAGCACCAGTGATGGACATAGTTAAGGAATTTTTTTGTCTTTTTTGGCTTTAAAATTAAAAAAAAATATCCAGTTATGCAAGTATAATCTCCATTTAAAAAAAAAACACCTTTTTGCACTGGTGATAGACACCCCAAACTTCAATTGTTCTAGTAATGGACAGGGGGTCGGTACCAGTAATGGACAAACCTCAGAAAAATTTTAATTTTAAATTTTTATTTGACTATAAAGATAAGATAACATAAATGTTCAACTTATTATTAGCAAAACTGTTAGTAGGAAGGTATGAAACACACTGATCTCAAGAGCACTATACAAACAACAATAATAGGCATTTTAAAATTTTCTTTTGGGAACTTTTTTCATACAGTTGTCAATAGAGGGCACTGTTCTCCAGTCTAGAAAAAACTGGAACCTTTAAATCAACAAGGAACCTTATTTACATTTAAAGCCCAACCTGTTGATCACTGGGCCCACTGTCCATAACTGGTGCTTTCACCCTACTTTAATTAATATTATTTTGTTCTCTAAATATTTTTAAAAAAAATCATATTTCACCTTTGATTATAGGTGAAGCCAAAACCCAAGACGACTTTGATTACAAAATTCACAGGACATCCCGTTCGACTGTAGGTACAACAAAACGACAATTTATTTATTTAATATTAAAATTTAGAATACTTCAATAAACTTACTTCTGATCTATTGGTTTTAGTATTTATTTGATAAAGATCTCGGTGACTGGGGTTGGAGAGAAATTAAAAAGAATGATCACGAAGGTATCGAGTTTGAACCACTTGATGCGCCTTTACTAAGTGACGACTGGTATTTCACAGCTTTTAGTGTCAGTAGTAAATATGGTTTCAGCATCATATCAGAACCTATTGTAGTAAGTATTTCTTTTTATATATTTTAAATTATTTTCTTTTGCCTAATTTTGTATTCAGCTTTAATTGACCTTTAAATATCTGTACCTTGTGTATATATTTTTCTTTATGTGGATATTTATACAAATTTACATAATCACAGTAGAGTCCCATAAAACCTGAAAAGGATTTTTAAAAAAAAATTAATTTAAATTTAATAAGTTAAAACAAAAATAATTTAAATAATTATGTTGTATACTGAGTTTACATATGCCTGTTACAAGGTAACACAAAACAATTATGTGTTTCGGCAAATACCAGTAACCACCCTTTTACACATACATATTTATGATTTTACCAAATCATTTATTTACTTTTTATAATCTTTATTTTTATATTACAACTGAAATCTGCTATGGTTTATTTAGTCGCACTGAATTATATACAAATTTTGAGCTTTATTCACAAACATTTTTTTTTTTTATTAACCCTACTTCAGTTCATAGATTGGTTAAAGCCTAAAAACCTATATATGCATTATACTCTATTAAAAATAATATTTAACATTTTTAACTACGTTAAAAATTTTAATAAATAATGTTATTTATAAAAAGCAAAATAATAATATTTATGCTTTGATTACTAATACTGAATTTTACTTATAGTACTCAACCAAGCGCCCATTCTTGGCATATATCTCTGGTCCAGAAGCATGTAAAAGAGGCGAACAAGTATGTTTCATTCTTCCATTATTTATTTATTTATCTCATTAAATTTAGTAATTATAAATAAAGATTTCCAAGAGATTACCTTATGAGGGGAGGTTAGAGAGGTGGGGGTCACCAAATCGAATGAAATTTTCTTTTTGGTGACACTAGGTCAAAATAAATTAGACTCATGTCCGAGGCTTCTTGCCATTGTGCCCTAGGAGCCGAGAAAAACAATATTTTTATTACTGTTTTCTGACTTTGCTCTGCATGAATTTCTAAGTTATTATATAACATTTTATTTTTTTTTTTTTCATAAAATAAGAAAAAAATATTGCTAATTGTATTAAACGAATTCTAATATATAATAAATTACAAAAATGGTTTCTATAAAGTTATGAAAAAGATTCAGACTCGTTTTTAGCATCCACTTAAACTCTTAAATACGAATTAGTTTTGCAATAAAAAATTATAAATTTTTCGACTTAATTTTATGGGAGCATTTTTTTTCACCAAAAAAAAGAAATCCTCCAAAGAAATCCATGAAGAGCTAAGTCAGAAAACAGTTAGAAAAAAAAAGTAATAACTTTTTTTCACGTATCCTGGGGCTCATTGGCAAGAACCCTTGGGCATGGGTCTAATATTTTTCGACCTAGTACCACCTAAAAATATTTCATTGAATTCAATGACCCCACTTCAGTAATCTTCCCTCGTTAGTAATAAATAACACAATAATTTATAATTGGTTTTACTTTTTACATTTTTTTTTTAATTTATTTTTTAAAGATTAATCGTAATTATTCTTTGACATGTACTAAGCTGTATTGCAAACAATAATTTACTTTAATAATTATAAAATTAAATTTTAGGTGAAAAATAACAGCTATTTTTAAGAATTATTACATTATTTTATTTTCATAAAAATGCAACACAACTGTTCTATTCATTATCTATTATGAACTTGATTCTGTCCAATACATTTGGAGTCATGGATGTAGAGATAAATAAAAATAATTTATTTTATTGAAGAAAAAGTTCAAGTTGCTATTTCTCATGTTATAGATTAATGTTTATTATAACGGAAGTTATAATAGGTATTTTTAATTTACATTTCTCATTACTAAGGACCACCTATCCTTTCAAACTACAAAAGTGTCCTAGGAACAACTTCAATAATATTTAGTGATTAGTTCATGGTCTCGAAGAACCCAAAGCCTGGTTTTAGTGAAAATTTACAGCACAATAGTTAATAAAATAGTAGTATTAAAATCATAAGTTGTTAAAACTGGAAATTGATGTAACAACCAAATTAAATTGTATTACATTTAAGCAATTAGACTTCCTTAAACTTCACTTTATTATTCAAAAGTAATTTCACATTATTTTGTTAACCTTTTGGAGAATTTCTTCTATCTTTAGAACCACTATAAAATAATTTTTTTTATTATGTTCAATCCTATATTAATTAAAAAAATTTATTTTATTTACCTTATTAATAATTACCTGTTACTATAATTTAATAAAATATAAATAAAAAGACTTTTCAGGGCTTTTAAAATAAATAATAAAATCAAAAAGATTCATATTCAAATTTACAAGTTGTTGATATGAAATTTATGTACTTTGTTTATTATAATAAAGCTTTCAGCATGATAAATCTGCATTTTTTAATCCATTATTCAAATTAATTTTATTTAATATGTTCATAGATTTTAATTAAAAATTAGTTTTATAATATTTTCTTGTGGCTTAGGTTGGTTTGAGACTTGTATTGAAAAACAATGATCCATCAGAAGCACTGGTTTTAGTAAGAATGATTTCATCTCCTGATTACAAATTCGTGCACGTCGAACCTGGAGGTTTAGTCTCAAGTTATTCAGCTCGTCTTTCTTCTGGGCAACACCAGCTACTGATTTATGTGAGCCTGAATCGGTTTATTTTATTGTACATAATGTTGATTTTTATGTTACGATTAATAAGGAAAACCTTATTTTAGTTTCATTCATACATTAGTTTCAGTAAATTATAAGACATTTGTTCATAGTGATTATAAGACATTAATATTAAAACTATTTGCATTTATTTATCATTGTGGGTTGTATATAATAATATATCAAAATAATAAATATTAGGTTGTTACGAAACTCTTCATAAACAAAATAATTTTATTTAAATTTCATTATAAAACCTTCACAGTGAAATCTTAATGTCACAAGTTGAATTAGGTAGTAATATTAGTCTTTCATTTTTGAGAGAAAATCTCTTTGTTTTAAAAATATTCGAAAACACACCATTGATAAAAAAAAGATACTTATGCACTTATACAAGGCAGCTTACTCATGCAAATGAGTCCTAATCCTTCAATTCGTGAACTAGGTATTATCACATTTATGAAATCTAAAATCTGTCTTAACTTATAAAATTGAATGTATCGTTGAGACTGGTTTGGTTAAAAAATTTAAATTTTAATGTTTAATGTAAAATTTTTATTTGATCAAAGTTTTATTGGACAAATTCGACAAATTAATGATATATGCAATTAAAGATTTGTTTTTATTCCTCCCCATCAGCACAAGAATTTCCTGTTTTTCTATTTCATAATTTTAGAAACTCGCCATTTAAATCCAGACCTGGGTAACATTTCAAATGTATTTTATTTTGTTTCTTAAATAAATACAGTTTACCCATATCTCTTTTAATTATTAGATTTATTAAAATCAGTCTTCTGACGCTTCCCTTCTGGAAATAACAGGTTAGCATTGTTAAAGATTGAGTCATGTGATCAAAATCTGTCCATATCATTCATTAGCTGTTTGGTAAATGTCCATTTTTGAAAGAAAGTCAATTATATAGGAATGCATCATATTTATTTATTTTTTTTTTTAGTTAAATTCAACATACATATTACTTTTTTGAATTGAAATTAATTCTACCATTTAAAAGAACAAGGAAGAGGTAATAAGAATCAACTTATAAATGAATTTAGATTTTGGTGCCAGATGTCTGCCTTTGATATGAGTTCACTCAATTATAATCGTAATATTTCGTATTTAATTAATGAAATTTAATATTTTTAGTTACCTCCTGAGGGGCAGGAACATATTGACTACCCAATAGCACCAACAATAGAGCAAGGAGAAATTGAAGTACAATTTGTTGCGTCTACTATGTCAGGAAAAGCACTTCTTGTTCACAAAATGACTGTTTTGGTAATAATAATTTCTAAATAATAATCAGTATGTTACAGAATCTCTTTATTCTTTGTCATGTTTTAAATATTTGTTTTATGAATATTTTAATATAAATACCATATTGCATTTTTTCATATCTCATAATAAAATTCTTTTAATGTCTACTTAGTTCTTCAATTATTATTTTTTATAATAAAAAAAAAAAAAAAACTACCATTACAACCCATGAAAAGTCTCAGGTTCAATACTATGTAGAGAAGGTACTGTTTCTTGATTAGCGGTTGTACAAGGAGGTGATTTGACCGAGATCATACTGAACCGCCAGATTATCCTCTTTAAATTAATTAAGGGTACCCACTTTATAGAGGCTGGATGTTCTTCCCAGGATGTTCTTCCGACCCTAGGGTCGATCCATGGCTGATGAAACTGAATAAATAATTTATCTGCCATCAGCCAGGTTCGAACCTTAGACGTTAAGCATAGAAAGCTTAATGCCCTGCCCTGCCCTATCACTGAGCTACCCCACTATGATTAATTTTTACCACTAGTAATTTTGTTTTTTAGCCCGAAGGTGCAACTGTCAAACGACATACTGCTGTAATGCTGGATCTGAAGAATAGAGCTTATGTATTGAACTACCTGGATGTGATTGTAGAAGAATCACCAATAGTACCCTACCAAGAATGGAGAAGATACATCTTTGGTAGTCCAAAGGCTGCTATTTCAGTGACAGGTAATAAGGCTAAAAGTGAGGAGTTTATTGTTATTTGATGAAATGTATTAGTTGAAAAGAAATTGTTTGCACAGAATATTTATCATATTAACTAATAATTTAGGAAATATTCATCTTTTTTAAGTCATCTTGTTGTGCCTTTCAGCATAGGGCAGTTCTTGTTTTTTGATAGGTTCCTGGCTTGGCAGATTTTTTCTTCTCCTTTTGCACAAACGTATTTGAATCCATTACAAACTGGGTCTAAAGTTATTACTATATATTTTTCCTACCCGTTTCATCTGTTTATGTCTGTGTGTTTTTCATGAATGAATGAATTTCATTCTCAATTCATTTTTTATTACTAATAACAATATGAGATTGTTGATTATTTTTAAATATTATACTTAATAATCTATTGCGCTCACACTTTAATCTCACATCTTGGATTTATTATTAAGTTTAGGTATTTTATTGGAACCTATCCATTTCTGTATATATATAAATATATACCATTATCAATCTTTTCAGTAAGGACTGGAAAATGTTTCAAGGTAAAAAGAAAATAATTAATATTTCTTTTTCATTTTTTAGCCAAGGGCTCTGCTTAAAGCAAAAGAAAAAATATCAAATAATTTTTTTTTAATAATCATGCTTTAATTAATATTGTTTATTATTTAATTAATATTATTGATTATATGAAATAATAATGTATTATGTCTTATTTAATTTTATTTTGGGGGTTACAATATGCCGAAAAAAATGTGATTGAATATCAATATGCTTCAATGACGGGTCCATATTATACTGAAAAATAAAGCTGTTATGTAATTAAAAAAAAAAAACAACTAATACCTGGTTTTGAAATTTATTAGGCTTATTTTTTTTAAAGCACCATACAATTATTCTAAACTATAAATTGTAGTTAAAATGGAAAAAATATAATAAAAGTATGTATAGCATCATTAGTCCGTCTAAGTTTCCGTAATTACTTCATCAAGATGTGTACCAGTCAATAAAATATCAGAATTCATTCAACCCATTTGTTCTATAAACTTATTTGGTTGTGGAAAAAGATGAAAATCATTTTTTAACGTTTCTATTGACCTACTGAAATGATACTCAACAAAAAAAAAAATCAATCCAGGAACTGAGATAAGTCCTATTGCAAAAACACAATCATCATATCGAAGGTGCTCATTTTGAGAAAATAGAAGTCTTATGGAAATCTGCTTTTTTTATCAAAATAACTCAATTTTTTTATTGATAATTCTCCATGTGAAGCCATATTACACTCCTTTTATAATAGGTAGAAATATTGAAAACAATAGCTTATAAAACTCAATCTTTTTTTTTTTTATAAATCAAATTTAATTAATCATCTAATGGCAAATAACTAGTGACCTATTTCCATCTGTTTTATGAATATGTGTTAATGAGATTTTATTAAATGATTTAACATTATAACCTAACATTATTCGGGTAACCTGAGTTATTCAATAATCTGAGTGAACTCCGTCCTAGCCAACTTCAGATAACTATACCATTGCAAATATGAATGGATGGTGTCAGAGAAGAGACTAAACAATCAAGTTTGGATTATATGAATAGAAGTCTGTGCACGACATGCCAAATTGCATATTGATGATTACTATGCACTAAAATTAGCACTTTTAATGATATAATGTAATCCCCACATAAGGATCAAAATCGGCTTTGTACCAAAATAAGCACCTGTTATGCTAAAATACCATATATGGAGTACCGTTTGATTCAGAATTTACAGAGGTTTAACGAATCATACTCTTCACTTTTTGTCTTTCATTCCAAAATAAATAAAGTTAATATAAACATTTCGCTAGGCTTCAATACTGGAATGGTGGTAAGTCAGTGGATGGATATGGGACTAATTAGGATTTGAATATTTTGATGCGAACACCATCAATCCTTCAGAACTACTGGGTCCTGCGTTTTAAAGTCCAAAAATGTACCATTTTTGAGATAATGAAATGTTAAGGGTTCGCATTCACACAACCTCTCATTAATTGCAGTGCTACCATGGGATATATGTCTTATGTTGTCAACTCAATTAATCAAAGGTGTTTTTTTTTTCAGTAAGCCATATCTTCGTTAATTATTCATCAAATCCAATGATTCAGCCGTCATTTGTAAGATTTCCTTCTTGAGGGAAAATATATTAAAAAAAAACTAGTCACATCACCCAGAAAACCCGGGCAATAATATTATAAAGGAAAAGAAACTTTATTTGCAAATAACTCAAAAAGTATAAACTTTTTTGTGGATTACACCCATGATTATTCAAAATATTACCAAATTATCTACAAAACAGAAAAAAAAATAATCAAAATCAGACCATTATTACCAAAGATGCAGCTTATTATAATTTATAAACATGTTAGTTTAAAATATGAATAAAGTTTTAAATTAATTTTTATTATCTTGGACTATTATGACAACCGAGAAAATAAGAATTGATTTCTCCATTATATGATATGCATTATTTTATTTTCTTATTATTTTGTCATTTGATCACTGACCAATGTACTGTGCGAATTATTCCCACTTGGCCAACTTGTTAAATTAAATTGGCTTATACATTAGAATCTGAAAATAATGGCTATTACCATTGGAATAATAAATAAATTATGCAAATATTTGCTAACTGTCAATAAGAAATAAGCCATATTTTTCAAAAATGATTTGTGAATAACTTCAAAATAAATTAGACATCTCAGTATACCTAACTTTCATTAACTTCTTTCTTCTTATTTTTAACCATTCTTTCCATACTCCTCGATATATTAATTTGTTGTCTTATCTTTGAAATTTCAGTTCTTTTTTTCTCCATATCACATTCTGAAATATTTCTGTTGTTGTAATTGTTCCTAATAATTAATAAAAAGGAAAAAAAATTAAAGTAGAAGTAATTATCACCTAACATTGCTATGCCTACTTTTGCAGTCATAAGCTCTTCACTTATTTTCATTTTCAAAGCAGCCAATATATTAATTTCATATCTTAGCTTCTGCAATCTTACATTTTCTCTTTTCACTGCATTAGATCTTGAATCCTAAAAATAAATAATTAAATTAAATTCCTTCCTAACTGTTGTGGAATCTGAAATTTCACCATGTCCTTTCCAAAGTAAGATTATTCAAAACAGAAGAGCTGGGTTAAACATCTGGAGAGATTTCAATTCTGGTTGGACATGAAAGGAGAAATCACGGAAGTTCAAAAATGTGGCTGGTTGATTGATATATTAGATGATGCCACGTTTCGAGATCTCAAAGGATGGATTGCACCAAAAACTCTGAAAGAAGTGGCCTATAGTGACTTGGAGAAGACATTGAATGAAAACATCGCCCTTGCATTAAATCCGATGGTGAGTTACACTAAGTTTGTCAACAGGAAACAACTAAGCACAGAAACTGGTGTTTATAAAGGACCTCCAGTTATTTAAATTTAGACTCATCAGTACCTCCTGTTTATCAGCGTGTTTGTTAGGTACCATTTTCTTTATTAATTTATGGAGCAGGAAATTAAATCTAGTAATGAACAGGAAATTTTAAAACAAGATTGTGACAACCTAGAAACCCAAATTATTGCAAATTTGACTGAAGTTCAAGAAGCTACACTGGCTGAGGAACCTAGTAATGAACAGAAAATTTTGAAACAGGATTGTGCTAGCCTGGAAACAAAAATTATTGCAAATACAGCTGAGGTTCGGGAAGCTACACTGGCTGAGAAAGCTTCCTTTGGTCACACAGAAGGTGATGAGAAGCGAACAGTTGCAGAAGAGCTGAGCAAAATCAATTCTCCAGTTGATAATGGATTGGGAAATCTCTCGAGAAGGGAGAAAGAAATTCTTGAAGAAAAATTAGTGACAGCAGAAGTCCCTGGAGGGATCCATCCAGTTAATGTTGTAGAATCCAGTTAATGTTCCTGTACCAGGAAGGAACTTCTCGGGTTTCGAATCGAGTTCAGAGGGGTGAGGTCCAGCAAAGAAAAGTATGATAGTTCTTTTAGTCCAAAAAGGCCTTTGATTCAAGGAAAGACAACTCTACGTTTAAAAGATGAGTTAGGAAAATTTGATGACTGGAGTAAGGAAAGAACAGGATTATATGAAGAGTTGTTCCAAGGACTTACTAAGTATAATTTTGAGTGTGATGGACTACCAGTCACCTTACTTATTCTAGAATATGAGTTTTATGGAGGTTATATGATCCTGGATCAGGTCGCTTACTATGTTATAGTGAGACATGGTAGTCTTTATCCTATACCAGAGGATAAAAAATGGTTTCAAATTAGCGTCCCTTCCATTGACGAGCTAGAGGGTCCTGGCGAAAACATCGTAATGTAACCCTGGATAACTTGTAAATATATTGTGTATACATCTTTGTAAATAGTATAATTAAGTTGTTGGTATAGCTAAGATTAGGATTCTAATTATAAATTTATGAACAGAAGGTAATGGACCTCAGAATAAATTCTTGATTTAGATTGGATTAAATAACCGTCTGAGGAGACATATGTAAAGTATATTGTTGTTTCTCTCCTTAGGAGGGAGGGGTGTTGTGGACTATCCACTATTATCATATGAGTATGGAAAGTGGATTATGGCAACACTGTTTTTGTTGGGAGGATGCCAACTCAGTGTAGCTTGAGTAAGCATGGAAGCTAGAGGTGATATACCTGATGTTGATACTTTAACTGTAATAAATTGCTTTACTCCTGATCATAGTTTTATTCTATTGATGAACCCCAGTAAGAACATAAAACTAAAAATACATGTGAGAATGTTATAAAAATATCTATCTATATAAATAAAATAAATATTTTTTCTGTACATTGAATAGAATCAACCAGTTTCATGATATCTTTCCGTTTCATACATCACAGACACCAAATCCAATTTTAAAAACTTTTTTGTCTTTATGTCCGCATTGTCCAATGAAATTTTGTCACGAGTAAGCTCAGCAATGGCTAATGGTAGAATTTTGAAATTATATTTAGGTTTGCTTGACTTAAAACATAGGCTTTAAATGAAAACAAAATATTGCGTAGAACCAAAGTTATGAATTCTGGAGTAATTTGTCTAGAGATCCCAGTTAGGCAGTTATTTATTTCCATTCTCATCCCAACACACCTACTGTGAGCCACATTTAGAAGTTGTACTATTCAACTGATCAATTATAATAACAAAATTAATTTTTTTTTAATTATAATAACAAAAAAAATTTTCAATTATAATAAACTATTTTTCCCCCTCCTAACCCCAATAACATAATACTTTGAACAATTTATTTTACAAATAGCTGATGTACCTGTCATTGACGGGAGTATAGTTAAAATTTGAGAATCGTTTTTTGTTTTTAGATGGATTTTTTACTATGGGAGGGGATGAGGAGAGGGATACTTATTTAATTTCATGAAATTGGGTGGGGGAAGGGTAGTTGTTTTGAAATTTTTTATGGGGCTTATGGAAGTCAAGGTTCCGCAATAGCCATAATAAAAACTTTGCTATTCAGCTATTTATATAGGTATAATAAAGGAAACTGCACTTTAATGAGTGTATTAATGTATATATCATTTCAGGGCAGAAAATTATAATAAAATAACCATTAATAAATTTTAAAAAAACTATTGGAATGCTGTACAATGTACCGTAAATAGTAAATAAAAGGATGACAGTAACAGACATTTGTCTTACATGGTCATACTACATCAGCCTTTGCTGACGATTCTCTGGTTAACGAACATAGAAGCCTCCATCCTGTCCTCAATGATCTCATTCTGTCCATCGTTGTCACATGTAGGCATCTCTTCCAAAAATCCATCTCCACAGCTTGAACCTTTGAATAGAGCTGGGTTGACGTAGTCCAGGTTTCAGCTGAAACGTTTAGATGGGTTCTAAAATGGCATGGTATATACTTTGCTTGTTTTCTTTTAGAATTTTGTCATTCCACAAGACAGGATGAAGTAAGCATATGGCTTTCTAAGCTTGCTCCACTTTCCTCCACACATCAATTTCTGAGGATCCTGAGGAGCCCAAGTAAGACCCTAGATACTCAAAAACATTCACTTTTGTACATGTCTGAGAGTCGAAACAGAGATCACTGACGTCTTCAGCACAGTTGACCATGTATTCCATCTTTTCGTAAATCAACCCAAGCGCCAAAGAGTCATAGCCACCCTTTAGAGAGCACACCATCCTATCCAGAAACCCCTTTTGGCACATAAATATAATCTGATCACCAGCCGAAAAGAAAAACACCAGCTATTCATCGCCGATTGAGGGCACCACATCTACACACCAATGATACCATTCCTTGACAGACCCGTGTAGTTAAATCTTATCTTTCTTGGTTTTAAAAGAAAAGTGTGTTTAGTTTGGCAATTGGTAATTACCTAACTTTTTTTTTTTTTTTATTAACGAAATTTACAACTGTAATTAATAATAAATACAACAAGTAAATATGAACAAGTAATATGACATGTACAACATGAGGAGAAACTACCCATTGGTAGCACTCCAATTATATTTCTATATTAGATGGTCCCGAGGCCATCTTCTTTTTAGACGCCTCGGAGGGTTATCAGGAATAGAAGAGGAAGCAAGGTTGGAAACGAGAGGGTTCGGATGGTTCAGAAGTTTATTATGAAAGGACAGGTATCTGGATTGAGCTAAGTCGGAAACATATGGTACATTAAGGTCATTATGGATGATTTTATTTGTGAAAAAGTAGGGAACATTAAGGATTTTACGAAGGATTTTGGATTGTAGGGATTGGATACGAGAGGAATTTGGTGGTTTAGTAGAGCCCCAAAGCTCGATTCCAATTACCTAACTTAAATAGCTTTTTATTTACCACCTTTTATTCAACCAAAAATGGAAAATACTTTTTTAAGACATACAATTATAATTCCCTGGTTTTCTGTGTAGTATCAGACCAAAGTGAATTTTTTTTTTTTTCTTCTTGAAATTTCTACCTCTGAATATTTCCTGTTATTTATGGGTATGATAACAACAAAGAATACCTTTATACATAATAAATAAATAAAAGAATATTATTTTTATATAAACAGGTGATATCATCGGCCCCATTCTACCAAAGGTTCCAATGTGTGATGAAGACATATTAGGAAGATCTGGAAAAGGGACTGATGTAACAGTCTTTGAGTTCAGTGTCAACCTTCTTCACCTTCACTACCTCAGAGTTACCAACAAGTTTAAACCCACCCTTCTAAGGACAAGCCTTGAAGAGTCTAACTCTCTTTATGCTCATATCATGAGGCGCTATGATCAGAGGGGTTGGTTTTCCAACTGGGATATAGATCAGCCCAGTGTATGGTAAATATCACTATTAGTATTACATACTTACCATGATGAATCAAATAAAATAATAGACAGCTAAATATTACCTAAATATAAATATATAAATATATGCATATATATATATATATATATATATATATATATATATATATATATATATATATATATATATATATATATATATAAATGGAGGAATGGCCAAACTCCAGAAGAGGGTTGCACACAGAAAAATAATATTAAAAAAATTCATATTGCTACTGTTAGTGCAAAAGTTCGTATGTGAAAAACAGGAGTGGGGTGGCTGAATGGGCTAATGCATGTGCACAGCACTGTGCGTTGCCTGGCAACCTGATAACTGAAGTTTTGAGGTAAACAAATAATTACGAGTTCAAATCTCAGTGGCTGTTGGAACTTTTAACTATTTCTTATTTTATTTCCATATACTATTTTCCATCATAGAAGACTACTTATAGCAGCGGCAGACTACAAAATGTCACCTTAAGGACAAATATAATAAAAAAGGAAAATTTTTGCATATGACCTTTTTGCACTAACAGAAGTGATATGTTCTTAATTATGAATAAACAAAATTTCACAAACAAAAAATATTTCATACATGTATTAAAATTTTGGTTATCAAATCTTATTTTAATAAATGTGCGAAAATATGACCATTTACTTCTAAACATTTTCAGGCCTTCGAAACATCTTCGAAAGACAACAGTTACCTTATATAAGCCTTTCAGTTAAAACAATGACTAACTCCAATTTCAATATTTTTGAGTAAAGTCATTTTATCAATATCTCTAGTTGGAAAATTTATAATACCTGTACAGACAGTGAGTAAGTTGATTCCAGAATAGGTTATTGCAGTGTTGAAATATAGAACTGTGAAAAATGTATACATTTTTTCACTGGAAATATCACTAAAATTAATAACCAAAAATGTTGAAATTGGAGTTAGTCATTTTGTCTACTGGAAGGCTTATATATTTCTTTAAAGATCCCCGCAGCATTTTTAATATACTGAATTAATGGATCCTGAGTGTCTACTTTTACTTTGTGTACTTCATCTTTGAAATAGCCCCTGATGTAATGATTATTACATGTCTGAATGAATGAAAATAATTTTATTATTCTGGGACTATTGTCCCTTTAGAACAAGTTACAAATACAGAATATATATTAATATTTTGGTGTGTCCATGAAATACTATTTAATATTTACAGGATGATTAGGAATACAATAAAATTATAGATAATTAAAAGATATAAGAACGTGTATAAATAAAAAATAAACAGAGAAAGTAAATTAAGTAAACAAAATATCAATGAATCACAAAATAATCAAAATATCTGGGTGTTCTTTGAGATTCTTACAGCTTAGGTTTTTAAGTGCATTTCATGATCAATCAGATTGGGAATGGAATAGGTGTTTGAAGAGGAAAGATTTGAAAAAGGATATTGATTTTGCGTGTCGAATATCTGAGGGTATAGAGTTCCAAAGGGAGACAACTTGAATTAAAAAGGATTTATCAAAAGCAGCAGTTCAGTGAGGAGGAGGATAGAGGTCAGACGCACTGGATCTGGTGGGATGGGATTAAAAGGAGCGTTTGAATTGTAGGATCTATAGAATATAGGCGGGTCGCCGGGTTCTAATGGCCTGATATAGGAAGGTAGCAAGAAAAATTGTATTGGCAGCGGTAGGATGGATAAAGCCACTTAAACTTGGTGTAAAACTGGGTAATATGCATATTCCTTGAGATCTCGAAGATAACGTGGATTGAGCAGTTCATTAGACATTTAAGTTTAGCTTTGAGTTCTCTCGAGAGTCCACCATACACCATACAGCCATAGTCAAAGTGGGGGAAAACAAGAGAGGAGATCAGGAGTTGATGGGTTTTGAATGGAAGAAGATAATGTAGATGGTTAAACAGTTTCAGAGTGGATATAGTATGGCGGAAAATTTGGGAGATGTGTGGTTTCCAGGGGAGGGTTTGACCGAGGGTAACGCTAAGGTTTTTAACAGTGGTATGGAAGAAGATAGGTGAGTTGTTCAGAAGAAGATTAGGAGGTGCTGAAATGGATTTGAGGAGTGAGGGGGATCCGATCAGGATGACTTTTGTCTTCTCCGTATTTGATGTGAGCTTATTAAGATTCCCACATGCGCATATTCTATTGATGTCTTGTTGCAGTTTCAGGATGGCACTAGTATTATTTATTTATGCAGTATGAAGTATTATTTATTTTTAAATAGCCAATAAAATTCAAAATAAATTATAATATGATAACAATATAGGAGTTTTTAAAAATCATTTTCCTGTGTGCAATCCATTTCTGAAGTTATGCCTGTTCCCCCAGACTCAATCTTGTCTAATAATATTATAAATTTGTTTATATTAAACTCTATACCAAACATGTTTGCACATTAGTAGTTTTAAACTAATTTAAGAAATAAGAAAATTATTATTTTTTAGGCTTACTGCTTGGGTTATCAGAGCATTGAATTTTGCAAATTATGGAGATTGGGAAAACATCATCTATATAGATAGGAAGATATTTAACCAAACTGCTCTGTGGTTGACGACCAACCAGTCTCCAGCGGGTAGTTTCTTAGAAACACCCATGTTTTATAACAGCCTTGATTCAAAGATGGTAATTATATTCTTGAAATATAAAATCTAAGATATCAATAACACCCATTTCTCTTAAATTCTGACATAATATCATACGTCTAATGTTATATTCCAATACAAGAATATTACATAAAACTGATTTATCCTTCTTTCAGGAATATAATTTTTAAAAAACAACAGAAAAACTTGTTGAGCAGGCTGAGGACAGCTATACCCATCTGTTGTGCCAATAGAAAAATAATTTATTTATAACTTTTCAAATTAAATAAATAAAGCATTAATATGTTAATTTTGTTTTTTTAACAGAAAGACAAACGATCGCTAACCGCTCATGTGATTCTTGGCTTGTTATCATGCTTACAATTGCTCGAGGGCAGGACTAGAGTCGAGGCAAATAAAGCAATTATTAAGGGAGTACAATATTTAGAAAAAAGGTTACCTGATGAACCCTATCCCCTGGCTTTGGTGACCCTAGCTCTGTACACGGCTCAGAGTGTTGTGAAGGAACAAGCATTTTCCAATCTCGAAAGGTTGATAAATCTTTCAGAAGGTAATCTTTAATGAACTAAATATTATCAAAATTTTATTTCTAGACTACTTAATTTTAATCGATCAAGTTTTTGAGATGTTATTTCACAAACACATTCTAGGGTACCCTGGTTTAATAAAAATGTATGGATATTGTCATTCCCTATTTCCGATCGTTCTTCAGAACTTTTTTAGGTAAAACTTTAAGGGTTTAGGATAATTAGTAAATAATTTTTAAAGAAACAAAATTTTTTGAAAAAAACATCTATTAGACCAGTGATATATGCAAAGTACAAGCTATTTTAAGATGATAACCCATTATAACTCTGTTATGATAACTCCATTGCATAATTTTTGAGAATTTTAGTACATTTCCCGCTGAGATTTTAGCAAAAATTTTCATTTTTTAGTTTCATTCATACATATCATTTTCAACATCAAATAACTTTTAAATTAGTATGAATTATGGTGTTATTCATTCTTAAAGTTTTAAAAATCTGCTGTGGTCAAGCATCACAAACATTCACTTCCCAACATACTTTCTGCTCAAATAGGGTTAGTTAATATATAATTATTACAGTACTCGAGTTATTAATCTAAAGTTACTAAAGATTATGTGTTTTAACAACCCTCAGACAATGCTTGAAATATTTTGATAGGCATGAGATGCCTCTCTCACAAAAGTATGAAAAAAAAAAAGTTTGAAATCATTCCAGAATGACATTTTGATGTATTATGTATAATTTTTGTTTGTCAAGCTTAAACATTATTATAACAATTTTCATTTAGTTTGGAAATTTTATTTAGTTTCGGTGAAAAGATCAGGTTTCCGTTAAATAATATTAATTTTCAGAAATTATTATTAATCATTTTTTCACCAGTCTCCATTAACTTTATGACTTTATATACATTAGATATTATATTTTTAAAATATTCAGCTTTTCAACGATGTATTATACATATATATAATTTGACTCTTATTTCCAGAAATTCGTTTTCAACCTGGGTAAACATTATTTCTTTTTTTTTTAGTTAAGAATCAAATTCTGTCATAGTTTATATCGGACCATTTTTTTTATTAGTGCAAACAATTATAGAGAGTTAGCTATTTCAAATAAATCAAAAAATAGGTACTATAGAGAAAGCCATTTGGAAAATTTTCATTTAATCAAAATCTTTCTGGCTGTTTTCGAGAAAATTGAAAAATTTGTGTGACTTGAATGATAAAAAGTGCCATTTATGGTTAGTTAATTTTGAAGAAAATTTTGCTATAAAATTCCAGGCTTATCTTAAATACGTAATATCAGTTTCATACCATTTGTTTGTTTTTGAGTTAATCTGTTCACAAACACACATACCATTTTGTGATGTTTGGTTATATAAACTGAAGGAAACCATCAAAAACATTTTTTTTTTTTTTAAACTCATATTCAAAATTTCAAGATCCCAATATTTTCCATTACTATATATTAGACATCATCAGGTTATAAGTGAAACACTTTAAGTCAAAACCCATGAATTTGAGAAAACACTGAACAAAAATTTTTTTTCTTTTAACTTCTTTTATATAAGCATTTTCAATTGGAATTAAGTTACAGCATTTGCATTTTTTAGTTACTACACACCAGTCTTGGATCTCCTATTATTATGAAAAGTTGAAAACCAGAAAATTGATAATTTTGACATAGTGTGTTTCACTTGTAACGCCTTCTGTAAGTAAATATAAGTAAAAACAAATATCTAACATGAACCATTTTTTTTCTATTCAAATTGTCGAACTACTTTGCTGGAAACACTGTTGCTTTATGATTTATTGTATGTAATTCCTTGGACAGACTAGTTTCTGATTTATTATCAATAATTATTTTTTTTTAAAGGTGATTTAGTTTATTGGTCTCAGCAAGGAATCCCTCCAGTTCCTATAAAAATACAAAACCAACGACCATTCTTGGGACCGAGGAATTATACTGAAGGCATTAGTGAGAGTATCGAAACCACTGCACTTGCTCTTCTCTCGTCACTAATGAGAGAGGGGGTCACTCCCCAAGCCGATAGAATAGTCTTGACCCTAAATTCATTGCGGATGACAAATAATGGTTTTGTATCAATGACTGTATGTAAACATATTTTATAATTTTTGAATTTTTGCCCATGTTGTAAAATACTATAGATGTTGATATGATTTTTTCAGGATACAGTTTGGGCACTTGAAGCCTTAGTGGAATATGCAAACAGAGCACGTATAATGGAACTTACCAAACTTGAAGTGAATTTAAACAGCGGTGTTGACCCAAATTTTAAACACATAGTTCACATCACCAATTCCTCATTCAATAATGAAGATATATTTGAGGTTATTTTTATTTACTAATTTCTAATGTGTGTGTGTGTGTATATGTATATGTATATATATATATATATATATATATATATATATATATATATATATATATATATATATATATATATATATTAATGCAAAACAAAAATATTATTTTTACATGATTTTATTCTATATATAAATATTCATTGTAGCTATTTTTAAATGCATATTTGTTAATATACCTGTATTGAAAATATTTATTTTTTGTTGCTACTAGAAGTTAAAATGACCTATAAAATAATACAAACAGTGTAAATATGAAAAATGCTAATAATGAAAACATGCATCGGTGTAGTTGACAATTTAAATTTCTTTAAAATATAATTTATTATACTATCAAATTCTGTTTGAAATTTTTGGGAACGTTTTCCTGATCATCTGAACACGCATTGTTTTTCTTTGTTTATGAATGATTTGATGATGTGGGAGAGCGGACCACTATTTATCAAATCAGATGTATTAATAAAATCAACGATATTTTAAAAGAAGTTAAATTGGCAACCACACTTTTGAAAGTTATCAACAAAATAAAAACTAAGAAGAAAACATTCATTTATGTCTAAATAAAAAAAATTAAAAAGTTTGTTCATTTAATGTATTTACGGCTCAATATTTATCATTTTTACATTTTTTCACTAATAATATACTTTTTACAGCATATTACTGCTCTTTTTAAGGCATTGTACAATGTTTTGTTACATATAGATCCAGGCCTTATTAATGAATTTATAAGAGGTTTAAAACTTTTAAAAATTCATTCTTTTGATTGACAGCTAAAACATATTTGGGGCCACATTAATGTAATAGGCAAAGGCGCAGGCCTAGCCCTTGTTCAGATGGACATTAGCTATGGAGTAGATTGGGAACCTCTCAAAGACAAGCCATCTAGAGACAATTTCAATCTTAGAGTGAGGGAGTTCTATTCTCATGAGCGGAATAAATCAGCCATAACCATTGAAACTTGTATGAGGTATGCTGATCACATACATCATATAGCATATACCACAACATTGAAACCTATTTTAAATAATTTTAATATTCAGGCGTTTACGGGAAGATCGCACAGGAGGAGCTGTTCTCGAAGTTGAAATTCCTTCTGGTTACAGACTTGTAGAAACGGAAGCCATAAGGCAAGGATACATTGTTCCTCATTTTGTGGATGCTCGAACAAAACCAGGTCTTACCCTCTGGATTTTTGACCATGTAAGTCATTTAATATGATTTTAAAAATATTTTAAATAGAAAAAGTCTTATGCTCTTGATACCCTGCATTATCCTTGAAAACAGGTACCACTAGAAGAAAACTGTTTCAATCATACTGTAAGAAGGTGGTATCCAGTAGCTAATATATCACTTACTAGGCAGGCATTGCTTTACGAAGTGGCAGCTAGAGGTGAGTAATATCATAAGGTATATTGTTTAAAATCAATTATTTGACTCTATGTATGGTTTGAGTTGTTGATGAGACATGTTTTATCACTATTGATCTACTCTATGAGATATTTACAGTGACAAATAATTTTTAATTATTTTTATTCAATATGACTATAACATTATAGCCCATTTAATGCCAACATTAGAAAAAAAAAAAAAAAAACACATCAACCTAGACAGACACCTCATTGATCCCATAGATTTTATTTCATCAATAAAAAATCTTTTTACAAGAAATATCATTCCTCCATATTATGATGTTTCAGCATTTAATGACATTGTCAAATATTCTATGCTACATTAAGCAGTCTAAAGTACAGATTGTAAGGGATGGGAGTTTATTTTTAGGAAGAATATAAAATCAGTTATCAAAATATATGATAATAAGAGAAAATGTTTTTAACAAAATGAATGAAAAAACAAAAGCCAAAGTAATTGTAAGAAGGAAAAAAAAAAGAAAACAACTAAATTTATAATATTAATTTAACAATTACTACCATAATAATTTTTTATAATTTATTTATTTTATTTTATTTATTTATATAATTTATTAAATTTTAGTATACTAAAAAAAATCTGTTAATTGATTGTTTTGACTGTTGTTTTTTTTATGATATTTGAAAATGGCATTAAAGGCCGAAACATTATAATATGGAGGAAATTAAAAAATTTGTAAAAAAAATTGTATTCATGAAATAAAATTTTTGTAATTTGTGTGGTCTTTTTGTGAAATATTAATCATTTATTGATAATAAAAGGTTTGTTAAAAAGAAATGATCATATAGTTGTAAGAAAATACAAAAGGAACTCGGAAAGCAACCAAAACAGATTTGTTTACATTTCAATGCTTTATTTTTCATTTGAATTAATTCATTCCACTACTTGAGAATTTATTGAAATAAAAAACTTTTTTTTTCATTTTGCTACTAATTAGCTATTTTCTTCAAGTTTAAAAATTAAATTATAGTTTAAGGTCTTTATGTTTTTAGTATCTAAGTTTCGTACTAATATTTTTAAGATATTGTTATTTATATGTGTAGTACTTAATTTATTATTTGTACTTTAATTTTTTCTCTCCCATATTTTTTCTCTGAAAATGATTTTGAAATGAGGACTTGACTTATATTTGCGTCTAACCTACAAGTGAGCTATGGTATTAACTTACTTTTAGTTGGTTAGGTAGGAAAACTACACAGAAACTTATGGAGCTTATTTCGATTAATACATATATTATTATAGTACTGCTTCTTGATTTTATAATGTTCTTCATAAAACTTTTATTTGATATAACTATGTGAATGACTCTTTTATTTTTTTTTAATTATGCTTCTTTGTTTCAGAAAATTTTGTACAAGTTTTAGTTAATTCAACATCTCTTTATGTGCTGAATATTTGTGAAGTGTGCGGCTCATATCAATGCCCATATTGCCCTTTTTATAACGGATCAGTCAAAATCCAAATACCCTCATATATCTTTATTTTAGTCATTATTTTACTCATTGGATTCCAATAGAGTTTTGTAAATATAATCATGTAAATAAGGAGATAATACTTAAAATTAAACAAAAGTAATGTTATATATATAATTAACTGATCCTAATAATGAATATATGAGTTTTTTTGTTTCCAAAGTGAACCCTAATTATCATTGACAAATTTTCAGGAAATGCAGAAAACTATATTTTCTATTCCATTTATAATATCAAAACCATTGATTATTTTAATATTAATTTAAAAAACATTGAAACTTATAAATAGGGCTGCTTTTGAAACAAAAAATTAGAATTGGGAATCGGTCTGGAAAGAAAAAAATGGGGTACGATTCGGATAAAAAGATTTATCGATAAGAGAAGATATTAGAAAAGAGATGAATAAACAATGTATTTCAACAAAAAATAAATAAATGTATTAGCTCTACTAAATAAACATTGTATAATGAAACATTTAAGTAACAATTTGAAATATTTCAAATTTGAAATTTGAAATATTTTTTTCAACTTTCAAAAAAAAAAAAATCCAAGTAGGTGTATTAAAATTTTTCGTAGCATAAAATATGATAATTATTTGAGGGAAAAGACGGTGTGAGGCACAGGTGGATCTATGGGGGAGGGGAGGAGAGCTTTCTTGATGAAGCCTCCCCCACCAAAATGATAACATATAACCATGTTTAAAGAAAACAATTATCGCTAAAAGTATTATTGTTCCTCTAATTAAATTTAATAGGACTTAAAAAATCATTTAATGTAAAATCATCAACACCATTTCATATAGGTAGTTAGTTTCTTTCTTTCTTCCGAAGTAATTATCCTAATATATACATACAAAAAAAAATCTTTCGGGCTGAAGCTCTCCCAAAATTAAATCCTGGATCCATTAGTGGTCTGAGGTGGCAGTCATCAAGACAATTTTATTAGTCTAAGCTTTGACACAACTGTGCAGCATTATGGTATTATGCACTTTATCAGCTTTATGGTCAGGATAGAGTTCTGTGCGAAATTATGCACATACAAATTTTTTCATACGTAGCTCCACCCCGACCATAGTTCTGATGAAGGCCTGTATAGTTATGTCAAAAAAAATAAAATAAATAGATGTCGGCTAATAAAATAGTTTCAACTATTTTAATTTTTTTTTTTATGACCGCCACTCCGTACCATCTCTTTCCTCAATACTATACAAGGTCGACTATTGCATATTCAATAACATTTTTCTTTTTTCTCCCTACAGAAGATTCAGTTATTTTGAAAAGTATTACTTGTTTTTCACCTAAAATTCATTTTTTTTTCTTTTTCGATATCCTCGTAAAATAAAAAAAATCTTCACTGAACACCAAAACAAACAAGACCTCAACAATGAAATATAAGGAAATGAGAATTAAATTAAAGAAAATGTTAATTTATTTTCCACTTTGCTATGGAACAAAATAAAATTATGCTTTCATGCGTTAATAAACTTATTTTTACACTGCATTTTGTTAATAAATTTTTTCCAAAAAAATAAAAGTAAATAAATTATGCTTCACCTTGGAAATGATCGGCTCATATTATTTAAACATAAAAAATTATAAATTTGTGCTGTTTTTGTAAAAGTATTGTCAAAAAAGTTTTAATTCTGCCAGAGGTGTGTTTGTCTTTCCCTTGTGCCTTTTTAAGATTTCTTGGCTTACTAATATTACTGCATAATTTTTATTCACATTTATGGCATTTGTAAAAATTGAAAATTACAGTTAATGTTAAATAATAAATAAAAAAACTATTCCAAAAAAATATAATTTATTTTGTTTTTCACATTGATATCAAATCATTTTTAAAACTTCTTTATTATGTTTGTTACCATAAATAGGAAAAAATGGTAATTAAAAATTTATTTTTTAAATTAAATTGATTTAAAATAAAGACAAATTTATACGATTGTAATTTTCAATTCTTTTCTGATATTTTTCATATTTTTTAGAATTAGTAGTATTTGGATTTTTTTCGTTTAGCACTGGTATCCTTTCTAATAATAAATTATAAAAAAACTGAGTTTGGTTTTACCTCTCTTGGAATATAAAACGTACGTACCCTCATCATGATTAGCACTTGTTATACTCATTTAGGAAACCTATCAGAAACAAAATTAATTGGAGATTTAATCCTTGCATATTTAGTACATTAAATGTATGTTGTGGCTGTGATCTCTACATTATTGAACATGAGTTTTTTTTCATTTTTTTTGGTTTCGACAGTTATAAATTTTTTTATAAAAAAAAAGAATAATGAAAACATATGTTTTAATTACCACATGATTGAATTAAATTATAAGTTTTCAGTTTCTTTGTTTTAATATTTTGATGTTGTCTAACTATGGTAGAAAATATAGGTTATACACTGCATGTTGCTAACCTTTATAAGGCAATAATAATAGGAATATATATATACAATTTATTTAATATTTCTGATCTTTTAGAATTTTCTCATCCACGTTCACCTGCTTTTAAAATCTTATTTCTGATTCTGTAATGATCTTTCTTAGTCTTTATAATTTCTAAAGCAATTGTAGCTCTCTAAATAAGGATATCATTTTTTTTTTTTTTTTAACCAAAATTAATAAACAAAAGTTCAGAAAGAAATTGGGAAGGATAAACCCTTCTAGATAATATATTGTGAGATGTGACATTTTTATTATTAAGAAGTTAACTTAACGTTGTTGTAAAAAGTAGTGTAGATATATTATGTATAAACAATTTATGATTTTTCATTGTATATTTTTTATCTTTATGTAACATTTGTGTATTATCAAATTTAATTTTACTTGTTACTTTTGTTGTATAAATTTGTTTCATTTGCATGTAAATATTATATACTACTTTAATAATAACAACTGTTATCTGAGTTTTTTTTTTAAATTTATCTTATTCAATGATTTCCTGTCATATGATGAAAGGTTGGAACAAAATTATAGATATAATGATAAATTCGGCTGAATGTTGTTGTTTTTTATCATAAATATTTAAATTTAATATAAAATAAAATATATTAATATTTTTTTTAATAAACCATTGTACACCCCAAGTTTTAATGAAGCCAAGTATTATTTATATTTAAAAATTGTTAGTACCTTCCTGGCAACATTTGCTGATGACACCCCCATCCTATCATCCAACTCAGATCCCGAAATAGCATCTTTAAATCTTCAAAGGCACCTCTCCATGATTGAGCACTGGTGTAATAAATGGCGCATCAAAGTAAACGAATCCAAATGCAAACACATTACCTTCACACTCCACCGCAGATCCTGTCCATCAGTCCACTTTAATTCCATTCAGCTTCCTTTTTCAGACACAGTCCGGTATCTTGGCTTTATCTTAGACCGAATACTAACGTGGAACCCACATACTAGACTTTAAAGACAAGAACTTAACCGACGATATGGCCAATTATACAGACTACTGACCAGAAAATCTCAACTTTCAATTGACAACAAATTACTGATCTACAAGACAGGTCTACAATCCTGAAACCCATTTGGACCTATGGACTTGAACTTTGGGGGACAGCAAAATTCTCTAACATCAAACGCATCCAATCCTTTCAATCCAAAGTCCTCCAAACAATAGTCGATGTTCCGTTCTATGTAACCAACAAAACCCTACATCATGACCTTAATATCCCATTTGTCCTTGACCTTATCCCTGAAAAATTTTCAAAATTCCAACCTTATCAATCATCCAAATCCCCTAGCCCAATCCCTATCTAGTTCCACTCATCCCTACAACCCTTCTCGAAGATTGAAGCGGCAATGGTCCAGAGATCTTTTGTATTATATATATATTAGAGTTCTGGCAATGGCCAGATTCTCCACTCATGACATGAGTGTATGTGGCTAAAGCGCTCTCGCTCAAACTCCACCGGCTTCAGCACCGGTGAGGTGGTTGAGAGAGTAGCACAGGGATTTGGGTTCCCCGCCTGATTGTATATAGGTATGACTGTATTTTTATGTTTTTAATTTACTTATATTTAGGTTATTTTATTTTTTTATTGTATATAGTTTTTATTTATTATTATTTAGTTATTATTTTACTTTTGTTAATTTTGTTTCTTTTTTGTATATACGGTGTGAATGTGTTCATTTATCAATATAATTATTGTCCCTGTGACAGAATATTATGTCAAAAAAAAAAAAAATTGTTAGAACAAAAACTTTACTATCCTGTTACAATGAACAATATTTTTACTTAAAAAATTCATTTATTTAATTATATAAGCTGTGCAAAAAAATTACAAAAACGCCAATTTGGGCTATATATACATTTCTGTTTAACTCATACTATTTTAGCGATAATGGATTTCCGCTGTCAAGAACCCCTTTTATTAAGAGAAATGACATGGATGTCCATTATAATAATTCTAATAGCTAATGAAACAATATGGAGAGAGGTGACTCAATACATACGAGACTGGAGTTTTTATAGTTTTACTAGACACCCTTGACGTATCGTTGCAAATCAGCCAGTGGCCAATGTTCTCACAGTTTTGTACTTTCATCACTGACCGTTAAATAACTAGCCTAGTCATTGTAATTTTTCTGGCAACAGCAATTAGAACTGAGGTTGGAAATAAAATTTCTGCTTCTCAACTTGTCCTGCATGAATGTTTAAACAAAGCTGAAAAGAAATTAATCAGAAAGTGGAATGCAGATAGAAATAATACTGTTTTCAAGAGTATTAATTTTGACCCAGATTGTTGGCACCCCATTGTCCACAGCACCCTGATTCTTCCATCCCCATGACTGCATATACATGGATCATCGGTGCCAGGCACTTTTTATCTCCCTTTAGCAATATTTTATGAAAAGGGAATAACCTCTCCAACATCGTACAATCATTTACTTAAAATCAATCATAAAAATTTGAATAAATAGTATAGAGTATTTTTTTTTAAACAGTATTTTATTTTATTTTTTGCGGCAAAATGCACTGTGGCCATGAAGGCTTATCGTGTACTCTAATTTCAATATTTCTCTTAATTAGAACATTATTCTGGCAATTTCAGCAAAATGAAGATTTGTGAGATTGACAAGCTTGTTGTACTTAAGGTCTGACTCTCTGTCCTTCCCAAAATAAACAGCTTAGATAATAATTATAACACTAGTTGGTCCCTGCAAATAATTCACAAAACCTATTGGTCAGAGAGTAAATGGCAATATAATTAATTTTTTCATACTTGGTAGATTACAATGGTTTGTTCTAAATTATAAACCAAAACGTGTACAAAGTACACTTGGCTGTATCTGATTTTCTTTTTTTTTTTTTTTTTTTCCTTTTGTAGGGGTGGGAAAACCTTTCAAACTCTATACATTGAAAAGATATAAATTTGTATACTTTTTGAGTTATATGCAAATGAAATTTAATTGTCTTCATAACTTTTTCCTGATTTTTCTGGAGATGTGTTTATTTTTCCACCTGAAGCAGAATGATAGTCTGTAAAATATGGCTCAACCCTTGTATCAACACACAAAAAAAACACCTTTCAGAAATTATACATTATGTTACAATTGAGGTAATAAACTGATTATTTATTTATTTACCACATTGCAAATAAAGTTATAGGGGTGTTTGCAGTAGTTTTTTTTTTCTCCTCGCCTTTTGGCATATGATTTTTTTCCATTCTAGGAGAAAGGGCAGGGGAATAATTGCAGAATTCGGAGCCTCCCAAGGTACCTATACTCGAACTTGTAATTATTTTATCAAGTTATCTTCAGTATGCACACTAATTCGCCCGCTCGGTCACCCGCCCCCAATTAACTAATTACTGAACCACTTTATGTAAGACATTATATATATATATATCCCTCCTTCCCCTTCAATGCATTGAACACTGTCATCATGTTGCATTAACCTTTCCTCTCCTCAAATATTTCCTAAGTGTCAGCGTCTAGGATCTGGATTAAGTTTTGAAGATCACCCTTCTCAGCCTCCAACATACTCGCCTTTCCGTTTAAATGGGGTTTTCCCGAGCCTGGGTTTAAAGTCCCTTACACACTGGGTTTACAGTTTATCAGGTTAAAGGGCAACACGTTTTGCACACTCCTTAATACACTGGACCACTCTACCCTCACCCCCATCATACTTATTGACTAAAAGGAATTTATACTTTAATCATAACAAAGCATTTTTTGTTTTTCGTCATAACTCCCACGAAGAACAGGGGTACCGACCTCACTAGGACCTCTAAAGCTTCATGTGAGTTGACCTATATGCTTTAATTAAATTAAATTAATTCATTGCAAATGTTGGACAATGGCAAGACCAATCCGTTTTGTTTTATCTTTTATCGAATAACTTTTTTTTTTCTGAAAACAAATCCCTTGGCAATGGGCAGCACCTACAACGGATAATACTTTCACCAATACAACATTCGTAAATATCCCACGCACACCGGTAACCAACCTAAGGATGTTGAAAAAATATCAATATTTAAAAAAATATATCGATATTATAGTATCAAAAACCTCTGCCAGTTTTTCAAAAAAAAAAAAAAAAAACATGATGCTCCAAAGACTTCGGATTTAAGAATCAAAGAATGAAAATAAACAAAGAGGAGAGAAGTAGAATAATGCTCAATCAGTAATCTTTGTGCTGTATAATGAAGAAATATAGATTTTATGTTTAATCATATGAAAGATAATTAAATTCCCTACGAAGAGGAACGTCTGGTCACATGCAAGCGTCTATTGTGATCATGTCAACTGAAGCTCTCCATTTTCTTATTTGTGTTTGGTAATGGTAGCCAGATATATTTTTTGTTTTTTTGCCTTAAACTCCTAAACAATGCATCAAAGAGAAAAAATGTACTCTTCAAGAAATTAAAGAACTTTAAATTTTGCGTCGAAAGAGTATCAAAACCTAATAATTCGAATAAGTGATATGGTAGAAAACTGCGGTCAACCAACGCTGATTTTTAACGAATTAGTCAAAAACTAAGACAAAATCCTATAAACGACACTACAGCTTGGACGTGTTTTCATAGAAAAAGTGCAAAAATCCATAGAATCAAAGTTGTAGAATATAAAATTTTGCGTCCAACGATTACCAACAGTTTTAATTTAGGTTTTAACTTTACTCCGAATAAAATCGATAATCTCCCGAGGTTTAGAAATTGGTAATGAAAGTATGTTTGATTTTATATATTTCAAAATTACGGGTGTCTATTCTAGTGAGTTATTCTTGTTTAAAGTCTGTTACATGCAATATAAGCCTCTTTACCACCTCTCAGCAGCGATGGATTTTGAGAAACGATATGTCGAAAGATACCGAATTTAATGAAGAAATAATAAATCTCGATTCGAGATATATAATTGATCTAAAATAAAAATGTTAGTACTCAGTGGACGCAGAATTTCATGCTCTGCAACTTTAATTCTATAATATTTTCCTCTTAGTGAATTCCAAGCTACAGAGCCATTTAGAGTTATTTGTCAAATTTAGTCAAAATCAGCGTTCGTTGACCGTGGTTTTTCATCATACCACTTAACCAAATTATTAAGTTTAGATACTCGTTCGACGCAAAATTGAAGATTCTTTAATTTATTAAAGAATACATTTTACACTTCGATGCACCCTTTAGGTGTTGTATGTGAAAAAACAAAACAAAGTCGAAGAAATATGGCTTTTTGGACTGTAAAAAGTTTTCTGTTGGTACCTTGTTTTTTTTGTTTTTGTTTTTTTCCTGTTCTTCCCTACCTCCCATTTTAGGCTATACGGGATTTTCTCGGGCCGGGGGGTGAGGGTGAGGAAAAATCCCCTCTGGCACTGGAACGCGAACTCATATTTTTTTAATCTCTCACATCGTTATCTGGTTGCAGGGCAACTTGAGGTGCAGTGTAGCCCATTTGGCCACCCCGCCTCTGGTTGCTCGAGTTAGAAATTTAGGATTTTACATGTTAGAACCCATATATATATAAGTTAAAAAAAGGACAATTTTCCCCACTTTTTCGGAATATATTTCCCGTTTCGATCCTCAAGTTACTGGGCTAATATTCTTTCAATCAGCCGCCATTTTTGAAAGCAGCGGCTCCGGAATGGTAGATAAGGTTCGTTTTACTTAGAATAACATACACTATCGTAATTTACTCTCAAATATTCGCCTGCGATGAGGTTGATTTTTGGGCTATGGTTCCAGAGCTATCAGTTTTGTTCCATAAAATCCTATTAAATCAATCATTTATTAGGTGCTAATTTATTTGCATCCCACAAAGATTTCATTGACAAATAGTGACCTTGGTTTTAAAAGAAATTTAGAAAATTTAGAAATTTGGGCAACTTGGATTTACTCTTAGAAGTCACTCACAACAAATTTATGTTCCAAATGAATGAATTTTAGTGAATGTTCTATGGTTAAAAGTTTGAAAAGTTCACGCGCAATTTAACTCTACAATTCTATATGGTAACAGGCAAGATCAGTGTTATGTTTTTTCCGAAAGATGATTCATACACAATCCTTAGAGCTTTTAGAAAAAGATAGTTTTAATTTTTTTTTTTTTTTTTAATTAGAATCTGTCTCCCTTTTACCCATACTAGGCAAAATCCTGGAAAATCTCACCCTAAAACGCCTGTACCCCATCCTAGATTCTAATCACATTATCCCAGATCATCAATTTGGATTCCGCAGATCCCATTCCACTATCCAGCAATGCCATCGTGTGGTGGATGTTGTCTCCTCTGCATTGGAGCGCGGAATGTACTGCACGGGAGTCTTTCTCGATGTAGAACAGTCTTTTGATCGATTCTGGCACCCAGGACCGCTTTACAAACTCCGTAAATTCCTACACCCTACATGCTTCCTCATTATCCGTTCCTATCTTACTGATAGATCCTTCAAAGTAAATCATAATAATGCCTATTCATCACTTTTTTCCCAGTCCGCTGGTGTTCCTCAAGGTAGTATCCTAGGTCCTATCCTTTACACAGTTTATACAGCTGATATCCCAAAGCATCCCAACACAGTCATTACCACGTATGCCGATGATACACGTATGCCGATCAGTTAATAACGACCCAACAATTGCATCCCAAACCCTTCAAACACACATCACAAACCTTGAAGAATGGTGTCAAAACTGGAGAATAAAAATAAATTCCAATAAATCCCATCAAATCACCTTTACCCTTCGTCGTAAACCTATGTCCTCTTGTCCTACAGTATCCTTTAATAATACCCCACTTATCCCTGTTGAACAAATTCGATACCTTGGACTCCACTTAGACAAACGTTTAACTTGGAATCCTCATACCAGACTGAAACGACAAGAAACAGCTCGACGTTTCCGACTACTCCAGCACTAACTAGACAAACGCTCTAACCTCCCAGTCAATTACAAAAGACTTATATATGACTACGATAAGACCTATTTGGACTTACAGAGTTGAGCTATGGGGCCCCACTAAACCATCAAATTCCTCTCGTATCCAATCTTTACAATCCAAAATCCTCAATGCTCCTTACTTTTTCACAAATAAAATAATCCTAAAAGACCTCAATGTTCCATATGTTTCCGATTTTGCCAAATCCAGATACCTATCCTTCCATAATAAACTTTATAACCATCCGAAATTTCTTGTTTCTAACCTTGCTTCCTCTTCGATTCCTGATAACCCTCCAAGGCGTCTGAAAAGAAGATGGCTTCGTGATCTCCTCATGTAGACAAAGTGTTAGAGTGCTACCAATGGGTAGTTTCTCAACATGTGATTTCATGCTATTTTATTCCTTTGTTCACATTTACTGAATGTATTTTTACTTGTAATACAGTTGTAAATATCATCAATAAAAAACAAATTAAAAAAAATTAAAATATCGTAGGGACGATATCGATAGTCAATAACATCGAAGTAGATGCCATCGATGGTAAAATATCGATTATCAGAAGGAGAACTTACATATGGAGGAGAAATTGTTGACTGTTGATTCTTAAAAGAGTTGATATAGTTGGTTGGTGATTGCAAACATGGAATTACACAAAAATAAATTATATTCATTTTCTTCGTACCGACGTTTCAGCCTAGGTTTCTGGAAGTTCGCAAGTTTTAGAACTTCATCAGGACAAAGCAAAGGTACAAATTCATATCGAGACAAAAATGAACAGTGATTATAATAATACGTTGGTAAAATAGTACAGTAGAATAATGTGTAGGTAGTTAAACTTCGCATTAATAAATATATGGAAAGAAAAATATCTGATACATAAATTAGTTTTAAATTAGATTATCATTAGTTTTAAATTAATGATAACAAAAGCTACGATTTATAAAATAACTTACACAGCTCATTCTCCTACTAAAGATTAACTTTCTTCATTCTTTATAGTTTCAATCTTGAGTATTTCTATGCATATATCGAAAATCTGAGGACAAATAAGCGTTTCAGTTGACAGAATGACTAACTCCGATTTCTACATTTTTTATTATTAATTTCAGTAATATTTCTAGTTGGAAAATTTATCTCTTTATTCATACTTCTATATTTCAACACTGCAGTCACCTACTCTGGAATCAATTTACTCATTGTCTGTACAGATATTATAAATTTCCCAACACTAAAATGACTTTATAAAAAAATGTTAATTAATTCTGTCAAGTAAAAAGCTCATATAATCATATTATCACGTGTGGTATACAAACTATGTTCAATAATATTGAGGGTGTAAAGGGGGGAGAGGGCATTAATAGATCGGCATTCTACATAATAACCCGATTTTCAGTCTGCTTTTCACCACTTTACTTATACAGTGCGAGAGTGATCACGATATATTAAATTAAAGAGAATGAATATGAATAAATTTCAAAAACATATGATATACTAGAATTGTATAAATAAAAAATTAACCAACTCTTTTAAGTATTATAGTTATTTTAAAGAAGAAAAAATAATGAATTTAATGGCATCACCATAAAAAATAAATTCGAACAATTCATTAATTAGCACACAACTGTTATTTAAGAAATTAAAAAATAAATTAACATATGTTAAGAAAAATAATAATTATCGATACTATCAGAATGTGGTAATTCATTTTACTTCTACAAATTAATATATTATTCTTGAAATCAAAATCACAATACCATGGCGAGACCGTTCGAGAGGTTGAAAGGCCTCAACATTGCTGCCTTGATCGAAGAGGCAGTGAATAATATCAATCCCGAAAAAGGCTTGACGCACGAAGAAATGGTTGACTACGTCTGTGATAAATTGGGCTTTGAGCAGACGAGGGTCCAGGCTAAAGTCAACGAGATTCTCAACCTAGGAACCCAGACAGGAGCGCTGCTCGTCACAGACGGAAAAGGCTATACCCTCAACGACAACAACAAACTCCGAAGACTGGCCTTGGACGCCGGAAGGAAGCCGAGGAAAGCGAAGAGGCGGCGGGAAATCAGCAGAAAGAGACACCTACAGCGCAGAAGATGAAGCTAGAAGGCCTAGATAAATGGAAAAAATATTATGGTGAACGTGAATAAATTGTTTTGTTACAATGTTTGTAAGTATTTTATCATTATGCCTTTCTAATTATCGAGGGCTTTTTATAAATAATAAGATTCGTATACGTCAAATTATGAAGTTGGAGGCATTGGAAATTGTATTTCTGTGTTAGAAGGTCTCGAGGCCATTTTCTTTTCTCCACAGAGAAATATTGGCAATTGATCGTGAAGAACGTTTAAGCAATAGTATGATAGGATTTTAAAATAGTGCATAAGCATCTGTAATTATTTTGGTCCAATTCCTCAACATGTATTAAGGTCTTTGTCGATAAATATACTTTTAATTGTCAGGAGCACTAAGGATTTTTACAGTGGGATTGAATACAAGAACAAATTTTTGTGACTCCCAGCAATAGCGGATCCAGGATTTAATTTTTGAGGAGGGCTTCAGCCCAAAAGCTTTTTTTTTCATATAAATAATGATAATTAATTTGAAAACAAAAGAGAAAGAAACTAACTATCTATATGGCATGGTGTTTAAATGATTCTTGAAGTCCTATTAAATGTAATTACACTAAAGATAATACTTTAAGAGATAGTTTTTAATATTTTTTCTATAAAACATGGTTATATTTTACCATTTTGGGAGGCTTCAGCCCGAAAGCATCCCCTCCCCCCGTAGGTCCGCCAGGGACCCTAAGTTCTTAACTTGTTAAAGTATTTTATTGTGATAATCTACACAAAATGTTCTTTAAAAAAATTTGAAACCCTTACGGCTTAACTTCTGTAGAAGAGGGATCAAATATACCAAGACAGTTAGAAAAAAAAGAGAACTTTTCACAATATGAAGATGTATAAAAATTTATTAAAATATCTATGCGTATCAAGTATTGATTCAACGTGAAAAATACTGAAGCGGGCAAAAAAAAAAAAAAAATACATATTTTATAAATATAAATAAAATACGAAATACAGATGTACGAACTAAAAAAAATTCTATTAAAGAGCATTTTTAAATATCACTTATCTAAAACGAAAAATGCAAATAAAATGTTTCCAGCAAATTATTGAATTATTATAAATGAAGCATTTGTCATAGGCTATTTACGCCCCTTGATGAGATGTTAATGCTACATTGAAGGAGGCATTGCAATAATAAAAACAACATTACGTCTCTTAGTGTACAGAAGTATTACTTTTTTTTTTTAATTTTTATTATGATATTTACAACTGTATTAGAATGAATACATCAAGTAAATTTGTACAGAGGAATATAATCACATGAAACACGCTTGTTGAGAAACTACCCATTGGTAGCACTCTAATAATTTGTCTACATGAGGAGATCACGAAGCCATCTTCTTTTCAGACGCCTTGGAGGGTTATCAGGAATTGAAGAGGAAGCAAGGTTAGAAACAAGAGGTTTCGGATGGTTATGAAGTTTATTACGGAAGGATAGGTATCTGGATTTGGCCAAATCGGAAACATGGAACATTGAGGTCTTTATGGATTATTTTATTTGAGACAAAGTAATTGAGGATTTTGGATTGTAAAGATTGGATACGAGAGGAATTTGATGATTTAGTAGGGCCTCATAGCTCAAAAATAGGTCTTATTGTAGTCATGTATATGAGTCTTTTGTAATTGACTGGGAGCTTAGAGCGTTTGTTTAGCAAGTGCTGGAGTAGTCGGAAACGTCGATCGGTTTCTTGTCGTTTCAGTTTGGTATGAGGATTCCAAGTGAGACGTTTGTCGAGCTGGAGTCCTAGGTATCGGATATATTCTATAGGGATAAGTGGGATGTTATTAAAGGTTACTATAGGACAGCAAGTCATTGGTTTACGACGAAGGGTAAAGGTGATTTGATGGGATTTATTGGAATTTATTTTAATCCTCCCGTTTTGACACCATTCTTCAAGGTTTGTGATGTGTGATTGAAGAGTTCGGGATGCAATTGTTGGATCATTATTAACTGACAGGATACATGTGTCATCAGCATACGTAGTGATGGCAGTGTTAGGGTGGGTTGGGATATCAGCTGTATAAACTGTGTAAATGATAGGACCAAGGATACTACTACCTTGATGAACTGTAAGTAAAATTAAATATGGAAAATGTTATGGCATACTCTTGTTAGGCTGTTGGCAGGTATATAACAAACATTTTTACCACAATTACCAATGAAGCTATTTTGGTTTGAATACTGTGTCGGTACTCACTAGGAAATGGCATTCTCAAATGAGAGAAAGTTTAAAGTGAATGGAGGATCGGGATCTTTACGCCTGGTTTAAATTTAAATATAGTCAGAAATTCTCAATTTAAACTAAATATAACGATCCTGAACTACCAACTACGTTAACCTTCCTCTCATTTGAGAATGCCGTCTTCCACCTAATTCGTGGTCATGTTAGTACGAAGCAACATTTTATTAATTACTATAAATATAAAAGCATGAATTAAGGTCATAACCAGGAAATTTCGAGAATTATGGGTGTTGCAATACTTTTGACGGAGAGTGTATATTAATCACAAAATGTCTCTGAATTACGGGAAAGTACAAATGATTATAAAAATGTGTAAAAATTCTTATCTTAATTTATAAAAATCTGTTAGAGGAAAATGTTTAGTCGACCTCAGTTGTTGAGGAAGATGTTGAGCTACAGAAAAGTTAATGTAAACAATTTTAAGCAGAAAATTAGGAAATACAAGTTTTGTGATTTTTTTAAGCGTCATGTTTTTTGTTAAATAGGAAGCGATAACTTAAGAAATATATAATTTAAGTAATTAAAAATTGTTTCACTGTAAACTAGATACAATTTTCTTTAAATTGAAATATAGTAAGTCATTATTAAAATGATTTAAAGAGTACTTTTGAGCGGCTTAACTAAGCTAAATTCTGTTATTAAAAAAAGTACTTCAGAGTACTTGAAAGCCTTCAGTGCTCGAACCACCTGATTATGACCCGTTGAGGTTGAAACGTTGGCACAAATAAAAAAAAATGTATAATGATTGCGTTCTGAATATTTAATTAACATTATTTATTATATCTATTTGTTTATTTTGCGATTATTCTCCGAGGCTTCAAAACCCATATGTCTATCATTGTATATTATTCTATTGGCTCAGAATAAATATATTAGTATTATTAATCCGATGACAAAACGTAACGGGTCGGCCGAAAAGCAGATGAAAGCATGTTACGAATTTAAGGATTTAAATAGAATTCAGAAGGGATGTCTCTGAGAAAGGACAGTTAGTTGTGCTTGTGCTTAGATGAGTCCAGCATTATATACTCGACCAACACCGTCAATGAATTATTAATACTAAGTTATACGTTCGACCAGTCTAACCCCGAAAGTACTTGCTCTTCATAGTAAGAATATCAACAAACCAACGTATTCGAAGTTCCCTAAAATTAAGAACACAAACGTTCTCCCAGCTGTAATTAGACCTTTCTTCGAAAACATCTCTTCATTATAGAACTCTCATGTTTCAGTGGTCCAGATAACTTGAAAACACAATTGCTTAAGCAGTTTCATCGGTTTTCGTTGCACTGTAAGATGTACAGTAGAACATGGCATTCGGCATACAAGACAGTCGCTTGGGTATAGACCTTTCTATTTAATAACACATTTATGCCAACAGACATTTCTACCATTACTTACCTAATTTTTTTTTTTTTAAATTTCTTTATTGAGTATTATAACAATCTGTCTGTTGGACATTGGTTATAGTGAGGTAGGATGACATTCACACCATATGTACAAAATAAAATCAAAATATAAATAGAATAACTAAAATAAATAAACAAAAGTAATAATACAAATAAACAAATAAAAAAAAATAACCTAAAAAAATAAGAAAATTAAAACTAAGGAAAAAAAAAAAAAATAACATGCATACCTATATACAATCAGGCGAGGGAACTCCAGGAGAACCCAGCGCTACTCTTCCAACCGCGTCACTGGTACTAAAGCCAGCGGAGATTGGTCGAGAGCACTTTAGCCACATACACACATGTCTTGAGTGAAGAATCTGGCCATTGCCAGAACTCCAATTTATATAATCTACAAAAGGTCGCGAGGCCACTGCCGTTTCAACCTTCTTGGAGGATTATAGGGATGGGAGATGCTTGATAGGGATTGTGCAAGAGGATTTGGGTGGTAAGTAAGGTTCTGGTGAAATTTGGAGAATTTTTTCTGGGATAAGGTCTAGGACAAATGGGATGTTAAGGTCATGATGTAGGGTTTTGTTGGATACATAGAAAGGAGCATCGACTATTGTTCGAAGGACTTTAGACTGGAAGGATTGGATGCGCTTGATGTTAGAAAATTTTGCTGATCCCCACAGTTCTAGTCCGTAAGTCCAAATAGGTTTCAGTATTGTCTTGTAGATCAGTAGCTTGTTTTCAATGGAAAGTTTAGATTTTCTGCTTAGTAGTCGGTATAGTTGGCCGTATCGTCGGTTGAGTTCTTGTCTTTTGAGTCTAGTATGCGGGTTCCAAGTTAGTCTTCGGTCTAAATGAAAGCCAAGATACCGGACTGTGTCTGAATAAGGAAGCTGGATGGAATTGAAGAGTACTGGTGGACAGGAATTGCGTCGGAGTGTAAAGGTAATATGTTGGCATTTAGATTCATTAACTTTAATGCGCCAGTTATTACACCAGTGCTCAATCAAGGTGAGGTGACTTTGGAGATTTAAGGATGCTATTCCGGGATCAGAGTTGGATGATAAGATTGCGGTGTCGTCAGCGAATGTTGCAAGAAAAGTATCGGGATGAACAGGGATTTCAGCAGTAAAGAGGATGTAAAGCACGGGACCCAAGACGCTGCCTTGGGGAACACCGGCTTTAACGGAGTAGATATTGGAAAATTCTGTTCCACAGCGAACTCGAAAGGAGCGGTCAGAGAGGTAGGATCGGAGGACTAGGTACAAGGACTGAGGTAAATGGATTTTAAGCTTGGAGAGCAGTCCGGAGTGCCATACCCG